ATTAGTTTTAATTTTGGGAGTTTGATTTTTGATGTCACCGAGTATCCTCCGTTCCGGTCTCCGCTCGATGGTCCCCTTGCTGGGTGGCTGCCCTCCACGCTCTTGATCTTTTGTTTAAGTTTGGTGAGGTACGTGACGATCTTGTCCGAATACTCGATCGCATGACTGAACTCTGCTTCTGCATCTTGTCCCGTGATCAGAGGTTCGATCGCCGCGTCCACGTCGTTCAGTTGGTCGCGGGCCAGATGAATACGCTCGATTAGAACCTCGAGGTCGTTGACGCTTGGCGTAGCTAGGAGTAGTAACGCGTCGGCCTCACCAGTCAGTCGTGTCACTTGCATCCGATGCGTCTTCCGTTTTTTCTTGAGGACGTCCATGATCGTCGATCGTTCTGGCTTGGCTTGATGAAAAGTTGCTGTAAACCACCAGGTTCCCTTCGTTCAGTCGTTCCTTTCGGGTTTCGGCACCAATGTAGGAACCTCTGGTAGTCGTGGATGGTTACGTTCAAGCAAACTTGTATTTACATTATCTACAAGCTGCAAGCGATGCGATCTGACGTGTCGTTCCCAACCGTTCCAAACACGAGCCTCGTCTCGCGCCCAGGCCACGCGCTCCCCCGGCCGCCAGCTCCTTGCCACGCGCTCCCTTTTAAGACGTCTCTGGCCGATTTTCTCCTCGTCTTCGATGTCCTCGTGCCAGTGATATGGCTTATTACGAACCACTTAAACGCTCCAACAATCGTTCATAAGCGTTCGTGTCGTTCGACTGCGTACGCCGCGATAGAATTTGCATTCATTGGGCAATACTAGAATAATTCTAAATCTTTCGAGTTTAGCACTTCGAGGATAAGTTTGTTTTGCATCAGGATGATTTCGCGTCGGGAGTTGCTGCCGTCAGCGAGTGGGAGCGGTCACTTCGAAGACGGAGGCCTAACGAGAGCGTCGCTTTGGCTAAAACAACAACCGACCGTCACTTTGACGTCAAGTTGAACCGTATATTTTGACTCTCAAGAAAGATCCGCTGGAACTACCAAACCATACAACGCCTAGTCTCAGCGTTTTTTATTCAGGCCCTCTGGTGGGCAATTAGAGATACTACCGGACAAACCATGCAGTATTGTGCACAGCTACGGGGGCATGCGAATGCCAATGCACTAGAGCGCAGACTTCTGCGATATGTATCGGAGTCGTCAGTCTGCATTTAAGAGTAACTGAGTGTAGGAGATATTGATAGTTTATACTTTTCCCGTCTCTTTTGAGCAGATTATCAACACTGTGAATAGCTACATAGCTTAAGGAGAAATAATTTAGGTGAACCAATCTTTCAACAGTTACCACAAGGAGCCAAACCTGCACGAGTAGGTTATTAAAGAGGCATTGAGATTATAATATTCGAGTTAGTTTGTACTCTTCGTTATGATCTCGCTTTCGTGTCCACCATGGGCACATTATTTTCATCACTGAGAAGAAATGTAATCTCCGCCTCGTCGTTATTCTGAAACATCGCGTACATTTGAGCAGGAGCTCCAAGAAATGACACAAAGAGCAGAGACGGACGAGGAGTGTTGTCTGCACTCATCGTCCACTATCGTTGTCTGCTTCTGCACGGACGCTGAACTGACTCCGGAGCTGGTGCAAGGTATTGAGGAATTGGGTCTGAACTTGTTTAGAACTGGGATGACTCGAACGAGCGAGTGCAGCGGCCGTGCAACTTCCAGTTGAATCGAATGCGTAAGTTCCTGCACTGCTGAACTAGTTCAGCCAGTTCAGGCGAATCGAACAGAACTAAAGTCAACAGTCCAAAGAGTGATTCCCTGCCTGCCGCTTACGTCACTTTTTGATTGTGGCCCGCAGAGACTTTCACTTTGAAAAACACGGTGAAATCAAAAATTGTAAATTCAATATCTCCGCTAAAATATTATATTGGCGGCCCCATATTTGGGTTACGATTTCAGCGATGTTTGCTGGTGTATTTAGCAAATTTGCAGGCAAATGGGCGTCTATGACGAAAACGCCGGAGGACTCCTTTAACGTTTTCTAACACTACGACTATTTTCTGGATCGCATTTTCCCAGCTCCGCCTATGCACATAATTGTGGCCATGGTCGGCCATCTCTTTGGTAGAATTGTATTATCTCTAGCCATCATAGTAATATGGTTGACAGCACTGTGGCTGCAGGCTGCATAAAAATGTCCGTGGGTCCAGTACACTATACCGTCAGTGATATTTCGTCCTTGATTAAAGTCGCTCGACGACGCAGGTTCTTGAAACTCACTGGATGCGACAGAAGGAGGTCGACTATATAGTCATGTTGTGCGGCGCGCTGTTCAGATCTCTTCGATCGCGAGAAGACAAGAACCTACCATTGGCAAGTATTCAGTTCTGTGGCTATCCTTGCGCGCAGGGATACGTTCGGTGAAAAATATTTGTTGCCACCCAAGGTTTCCCCGAAATCGCCCCGCGACCCTTCAGCTTTGGGTGGAAGATATGCACACTATCTAAGGGGCGGTAAATTGCGCCACCATAATAATATCGTGGATCTAGAGATAATATGACTCGACCGACAAGATGGCCGACCGTGGCCGCATTCGCAGAGCGGCCAAGCGCGATCCAGCAAATAGTCTTATAGAGTAGTGTTTTAGAGCAATACTAAGACGGCAGTCAATTTACCCAAAAGAAGAATGACGATAACAATTGAGGAATTTAGTTGAACTGCTGGAGAAATAGGTTATTTGACACACACTCTCGCTTAACGCATAGCTTACATGCAATAAGAAATGCGTTAGTTCAAAGGAGTGTCATTGAGGGGCTGCGTGTTGTACTGGGACAGGACGTTCCGTAGCCTTTGCGAGATCCTTGAGTATACGTTGAACCGAATGGAGTGCATCCTCGTCGGCCGTCGATCATCTTCTGACGGGTGAGGCGTTGCTTGGTCTTCAAGCCCTCAATGCACCAGTACGGGCCAGAATGTTGAAATTGGAGTGAAGACTGAATACTCCGGTGCCATGCTTCTAGGCTGTTGTTGGTCTGAGGAAGCTTGTCTACAACGCGCTCATGGTAGCTCCAGAGTGACGGGAGAAAGGGCAGTTCTCAGCGGGTTAGGTTTCTTCCGAATGGTACGCCAATAGACGTGCTCTCGAAGTACTCAAACACCGATGACTTCCGTCATCCTGGTTGCTGATATCGTCCTGGGTAGCTTCAAAATCCTAGGGACTCTCATGGACTCGCGTGACTGAAGTAAAGTCTTAGCCCCGTGACTCACTCCGAGAGAATCACTTGACTCTTGTGGGGTGTTGAAATGAATCTAGCAGCAAATTAATTCATTCATTCTTATTGAGGGAGACGTTTGACTCCATCAAATATGTAATCTGGTGGTTCTCTTGGCGGAGTCGCGTGGTTCTAGAAAAACGAGAGACACGTGATTCTATCAGAGAGAATCCAGTGGCTCTCGTAGGAGGTTCACGTGATTCTAGCACAAATATATAATCCAGTTCTATGGGAGAGTCGTCTGACTCCATCAAAAATTAAATCTGGTGAATCTCATGGCGGGGTCGAGTGATTTTAGTAAAACGGAAGTTACATAATATTTTCGCGAATGCTAATTTTTGGGACGACGAATGACTGAAGGAAACTAAAGTGTTTATGGGGGAGAACTTGTGCCCAAAGCAAGATAGAAGGCTAGCGTCGCAGGCGTGGAAGGCGGAGTAACAGCACGATCGAGCGCTGGGGTGAGAGTAAGTCCCTCTCTCCGCGCGGAGTCTTTAATGTATAAACACGCGTGGGCTTCTGGAACAATGGGCATAGAAGGTTCGGTGCGTAGTACATTGTAACCTTGAACAAGCAACAGGGCTCTCAAGCTTACCAGAATGCAACCTTTACAGACGTAACAAAAGGGTGCGTTCTCTCCCAGGCATCGAACCTTGGCCCTTTTAGTGAGAGCCAAGCACGATACCCATTCGGCCACGGGAGCGCTTGCTCGATGACGCGTGTGGCAATACTACTGTAGGGTCCGCTGACCCTTGTGAAAGGTAGTCACCTGACTCTAGGCAGGAAGGGGGTCACCCGATGCCACTGCCACTGGGTAATAATCACGAAGCTCTAGTGGGGGTAGAGTCTACTGACTCCTCTGAACACTAGAGTCATATACTTATTTTAAGAAGTATCAAAACAGAAACAATTCTAGACCATCTCGAAAGGTATCAACGTTGACTCTCTTTTTTAGAGTGTGCAGGTGCCATAAGCGCATTTTAGATGAGCTTCCTTAGACCAACACCAGCGTAGAAGCATGGAACTGGATACTTTACATTTCTCTAGGGTTGCGACTTCCTAACCCGTGTCGGCTCGCCGAGGCCTTGAAGACCGTGCAGAGCTTCACCCAGCAGAAGATCATGGATTGTCGAAGAGCATTCACCCTATCGGGCTCGTGACCATACGCGAGAATCTCGCAAATATTACTGAACACCCTGCCCCGATATGACACACAGCCCCTCATTGACATTCTCTGGGGCTGTCGCTTTTCTTTCTGCATGTAAGCTGCATGTGAAACAAGAATGCATGTCAAATGAACTATTGCTTTAGCAGTTTCACTAAACTAATAAATTCTGATATTCATTCGTTATTTGGGTAAATAGGGGGCCGCTTTTTTGTGGATATAAAACGTTCAGGAATTAACTGTAAATCAATCATTTAACAAACAAAAGAAAACAAAAAAACGCCTACCCTTCGTCGTTAAGAGTCGAACGCGAGAGCTAAACATATGAACTCCTGCTGGTTCCCAAGCCAGTGAATGTATGGCTCGCCACCGAAGGGTCGTGAGCTAGCAGGACAAGCAGTAACAAAACCCCTAGTTTGAGCGATGGTCAGTGAGAAAGCGAATCGGTGCTTCTGTTGTTATATGACGGTGAGAATGTTTTACGAATGGTTGCTGTCATTGGCTTCGGACAAGTCGGTTGCCTTTGATTGTCCAACAGTAGCCCATGATTGGTATTGACTAGTCTTACCGAGATTAAGGCACATCCAGATCCAGTTGTCTCTACTGCCAGTTTGTTGGGCAGGTTGGTGACCTTCTTTTCTTGAATAACGAGCTTCGTGGGCTCCTTCAGGTCGTAGGATTCGTCCACATCGGTACCAGCGACTTTCACAGAGATGTCCACTGGATCTTTGCTCACGTGGGTCGCAAACGCGGAAAGTGCCTGGAGACCCAAAACTGTGTCCTGAAATTAAAAAAAAAAGAAGATTATTAAACGATGTACAGATTGACAAGGACTTAAATTTACGCGTAAGGACATCATCACTTAAATGTTCTTTATTTATTATCTGCATTTCTAACGTTACCAGCACTGTTACGAAATAACTTACAATCGAGAAGTTTTACATTTATGTCCACCATCTTACTGAGAGAACATTTCCTAAAACTTTCAACAATATCTTACTTTCAGTATATACCATATCGAGTAATTTCTGGGCGTTCATAACATATCGAGCCGCATATTAGTTTTCTTTTCGACGCCATCACAGTCGCAGTAAGTATGAAAGAATCATGAGCTGCGTTTAATTCTAAACCGATGCTACCTATAGACCGATCCCTAAAGCCACTTTGGCTACGCCACGGCTACCGCAATGAATCGAGGGAACTTTAGTCTTTTTACACGTGCCGCAACCACGCTGGAGCTTTGCGCGTGTAGAGCATGAGACGGCACGAGCCGTCTCGGGCACTGCCGCCTGTCTACTGTGAACTAAAGTTATGGCAGCGTCACGCATGCGCCGGAGGCTTTGTGAGATCGGTCTATCGGAGACATGAGCGACCAAGAGCGCCTTTGCGGTTGGCCTTCCACAACTGGCCGAATGCTGACTATTATCTAAGCAAAGGATTTCTCATTGACGGGAATAAGAGTAGTGTAAGGACTGAAATTTTTACGGTGTTGGCAGGGTTGGTTTTAGAGCGCAATGATTTCAAGCTCCCACCATGCGTATTACAAACACCATCGAACTCGTTCTTGACAAGGTAATGGCGTCACGAGAGGGAATCATAGGAGGGCGCCACCTAAACAAGTTGCCGCAAATAGAAGGAAGAGGCTGCGCCATTCGTATTCTAACGTGTCCACAATAGCCTTTCCAAAAAAGGGCTCCTGGCCAGTTCCATCTTCAGTGCTTCGTTTCGTTTAATATTATTATCCCTCAAAGGTACTTGAAAAACACATTGCGTGAGGGGGGGGGGGGGGGGGGGACAAGAAGGCAAATTTGAACAACGGATACCCCTAAAAAATAAACAGCTGATTAATTAAGAACATGAAGTATACAAATATCGACAACAAGAACTAAACATGGTGATTATGAACAGTTTGGAGATGTGCCTTGCAAAGATCTCTGAATTTATTGTGATTAGTTTACAATTAGTGGACGAATGGAATTCCAGTTATTAATAGCAAGAGCCAGTGGGAGTTCTTGAATTTATTAGTCCTCGCGACTAATGGCTTCATTTATAGGCTATGGCCGCGGCACATGGAAATGTGTGATGGCGGTTGTAAGTAAAGGTGACGAAAGTAGGAGGAGGAAAATAATAGTTTGTGGAAGATGACAAGACGGGAGAGATTACTTATTTCAGACAAGGGCACCAGTCGAGAGCAGATTATAGAGCAGATATGGAGGACTCTCGAGAGCAATCATGTGATGTGAAACGAATTGCCTTGTTTTCAATCGATTCAAGTTTTTTAATGAGATAGGACTGATGAGGCCATAAATTAAAGTCAGCATAGTTCAATTTAGATATTACAAAACGTTTTGTGCACAATAAGTTTAACATAACGTGGGGTGAGGTGCAAGCTACTTGTAATATATCGCAAGGATATATAAGCACTAGACACTATAGTATTAATAAGTATTCCAAGTGACGTTGTGAGAAAATTTAACGCCTAGATATTTACAGTTTTACACTTTTTCAAGGGGCTGCGTTACCAAGGGGTAGATACGCATTGCTTGATTATGTGTGCTGGTCAACTGTAATACCATACACCAATAGTTCTCAAATGGGGGTCCGCGGTACATTTGGGGTCCGCGAAGGCAATCTAGGGGTCCGCGAAGTCCCTCCTCATTAGTCAAGTCCGGCAATAAAAGTTGTCTTTCTTAGATTGAGAAGAAACGTTGCAATTTTCGGGTGAGGTTTTTCGCATGTATGTCAGCGACAGAAATCTGCTTCACACTATTGCTTACTTCTATCTATTTATTAAATAACTATTATAATTGACCTATACATTTCCCTTCCCTTCACCACGAATGGGATCTTCTATCATTTCCGCCGATCCACAAAGGGTCCGCGAAACATCAGTGGTTGAGAGCCGCTGCCTCACACTTTTATATATTTACTTTCATTTGGCACGTATCGCACCACTGTGAAAATATACTTAAATCCTGTTCTAATAATGCAGAGTGATCGGGGTTAGCAGAGCAACGATAAATAACAAAATTTTCCGCGGTATCAATATCAAAGGTGAATATTAAGAGTTGACTGTACCTGCGTGGAAGAAAATCCGCCCCGGCTGTTCCTTTGGGTGGCCATCCAGCGAACGATGGGCTGCGCTTTTCCCAGGTTCTCCTTGTCGCCAAGCTTCACGTATGTCAGCACCGCATAGGCAGCAGTCTCGATGTCAGCGGACGCAGACGATCCTTTTCTGGCAGCATTGGACCAGTATGTCAGGCCACCTGAGGAATATAACTCGTTGAAATTAGTGAAAAGACAGCAGTGCATTTGAAGACAAATTTCTGCTTGGCAAAAGTCTAGAGGAACACAAAGTTAGCCAGTGAGTTGGTTACACATGGGACGGTCTCAAGAATCGCGAAATATTGAATATAAGAGACCGATGTTCGTTGCATGCAACTGTTTGTGTACTTTCAATGTGATTTAAGGAAACCTCTCACGAATAAATTAAAAGCGGGGCTTCGGACCCAATACACAAATTTCAAAACGAATTTTCCAAAAGGTAAGCATTCAGATAAAAATTAAAGCCAATTTGGCATCGCATTTGCAAAATAAGGGCCGCGTGTGCACCTTTTCGAATATCACAAAGTAGCAGTCATGTCTCTAGCGAAGACACGGTCTTCGTTAGAGACATGACAGAAATAAATGCACTCATATCTCAAGCATGTGCCAAAAATTTTTACTTCAAACAGATGTACATTAATACTGGCACACGCGTCGCCGAGCGAGCGCGTGCGTGGCCGATAGGTTTCCTTGCTTAGCCTTCGCGCGGAGACCCCAGGTTCAATTCCTGGGAGTGGACGCGTCCTTTATATATTCTTTCAATTTAGCGTTCTCTTAAGTTCGAGAATCTTGTTGTCTGATAGAGGTACCAATGTTCTACGGGCCGAACGTTCTATGCCGAACGTTCCAGAAACCCACGCGGGGACATAATAGACTCCGCATGGCGAGGCGGAGCTGCCCACGACAAGCTTCATGGGGCTGCATATATTCAGGCCCTTCTAAGTTTGCTGCATGGAACACCGATCATCTGTTCAACGGCTAAATATATTCGCGCGTGCGTGGCGAAGTAGGTGACGCACGCGACTGCCATATGATGGAACGGAAACCCCGCATGACCCGGTCTTCCTTCTTAACAAACATTGGTGTTTTGGAAAGTTCCAGTTCATTCTGAGCTGTCATCGAGTGTTCTGGTTCAGAACGTTTTTGAATGTCCTACGTGTATTAAAACAGCGGTGAGGCACTGGTTCAGGAGAGCCGCTTGGTATTTTTTGAGGTTATAGGCGCAAGCTCCTCTAATTGAAAATTGACATTCAGTTTTATATTGGCCCCTATTTTTTTTTCCTTCGTGAAAATATCAAAGGCAACACAAACCACAACTCCGCGTACCCGCAACGTCGTTGGTCCTTATGGAGACACGTTGAGTCGGTGCCCTGCAACGTACCTTTGTGGGTGGACACCGCCTCCAACTTGTCCACGTAGTCCTTGGCTGAACTGTGACTGGCGAGGGCGGCTGCGTACGCGGAAACCGCTAAGTTGTGGGGACTCGGGTTCTTCTGCGCCGCGATGCAATTCAAAGCGGACTCGACGACCTTCGGTTCCGCAAGGCCTCCTTCCAGAAGGGCCACAAGGACGTACGCTGTGAGGGCGCCAGGTGCTGTTTCGTTCACCTTGCCCTGTAATTATAAAATGCATATGTCGCCGACGCTACTGACATGAACAAAGATGTAATATTGGTGTGCGTATTGTCGATGACACCTCGCCTACTCCTACAACCAGTACGTTAAACTATTTTAAAAATATGTACATAAAATATCCAATAGATATCGTATATTGCGACAAAGGCAGATGAGCAACCCGCAAAACAGCTAAACAGTATGAGAGTATAGCAACATTCATCGCTGAACACGTCAGTCGAACTCCACAGCTGGGAATGTCCTTCACCTAGAAAACACAAGAGGGTTCGTTGGTTGAACTTTCTGGAATCGTGTGCAGACCGAAGGTAAATCCGGAGGTTGTCAACTCCGAAAGGCACATAAGCCTTTAACAACGTAGAACTTTAGAAGCAGAGAGAAGGAGAGAGAGTGGAATCCTAGAGTCACCAGCTTTTCCTGAAGCATGAAACTGGCGTTCCTTCGAGCGCGTCAGTAGAACAACTCTTTATCGTTACCGGAGATGCATTCTCAGTGAAGCGGGGAAACATAACTGAAATAATTACCAGAGGCGGCTGCTCTGCTTAAAGACTGACCTGAAGAGGGTTCTGAGATTGCCTAAATAACGCGATATCTGTCTGCTGACTCCAAGCATCCTAAAAGTCCCTAAATCATGATGTTACGCGGCAGATTTCCCCATTAAAAAAACAATCCAAGATCGCAACACACCGATTTCATCTCCGGCAATGGGGGGAGCATGTTCCGAAACCAGGATCGCTGTCAGCCAATAACGAGCGGAGGATCCTCTCGCCTCCGGCGGATGGAACCGCGGAGTGATATCTCGAATGCGCGCGGTTCGTTGCCCATACAGCCCGGACTACGATGGAACCCATCGAGCACGCACTCGAGAGCTAGAGGGCCCACGACAGAACACATCACTCCCGCAACTCCCCCCCCCCCCCTCCCCTTTCCGCCAAAAAAAAAAGATATATGTCTATATATATAAAACTAATTATAATTTTTTGCTTTGAGACGATTATTGCACTATTAATTTCGCCCTCCGTGAAAGATTAACATCCTCGACTACTCTTACTTGTCTTGGGTTGCCAAAGGCATGATAGCGCTTTTTAGACGAGGACAAAAGAAAGAAAGACAAGACAGCACGAGCGCCGGCTGCAACTATTTAATCAACATGAAAATGAGGCATATATACACGCTTCGATCCTATCAATCAGCCAACCCCAGGACTTGCCGCCGCTCGCATGAACTGCACCTCCTTATCGAAAAGGTTGATGGATGCAACGCTGACACACCCACCCCTGCCCTTTTTAAAAAGGCCAGGGGTCAGTGTTGCATCCATCGACCTTTTCGATAAGGAGGTGCAGTTCATGCGAGTGGCGGCAAGGCCTGGGGTTGGTCGATTGATAGGATCGAAGCGTGTATATATGCCTCATTTCCATGTTGATTAAATAGTTGCAGTCAGCGCTCGTGTCTGTCTTGTCTTTCTTTCTTTTGTCCTCGTCTAAAAAGCGCTACCATACCTTTGGCAACCCAAGACCACTACCAACTAGCCCATCATTCAGCATTGATAAATACTCTTACTTGCTTCTATCATGTACAAAATCACACACATCTTTTGAAGGCCCAGCGTTTGCAATCTCAGTAAAATGCCTCGTTTTCATTGGTGATATGCCGTCCTGGCTGCCGGCGCAATGATCCTCCCATCGCTGGAGATAATTTCGATTTTTGTTGTTTTTTAATAGAAAGATCGGCCGCGCATCGTTATGATTGATTAATTTCTAGGGCGCTTATAGCCCGCAGAGTGAGTTATCACCATATTTAGGCAATATCAGAAACCTTCTCAGGGCTTCTTTAAATGTGAGGACTACTATTGAAAAGAAAACAATAAACCATAAAACGAAAGCAGTTGTGTATCTCGTCGTCAAAGTAACCGGAAAAGTAACTCGCTACTTTTGAGGTAATGTAACACGTTCCTTTTGAGAATCAGTAACGAGTAACGCAATTAGTTACTTTCTGAGCGATGGACGGGTAACGGTATTTAGTTAATTTTCTGGGTAATATGGTGCATGTCTGACTCATAAGTACAGCAAATTAGAATACTTTAAAGATTGAATGATTAAAAATTCTTAATATCTTTTCGACATAGTACCAATGCATTGCTGTTTTTTTATCCGTAATTGTCTAAACTATATTAGCGGTACTACTAGAAAAACGTCATGTTTACATGTATGTCTAGAAAAGACATGACTACGGTACAGCAGGGTCAGATGGTCCACTTCTATGCATATTACACAAATAAAAAAAAATACTGTGATATTGAAAAAAAAAGTAGCTTTAGAGACCGATAACATCGGTTTTTGTTGCGTTTTTCAAACGGAGACATAAGGTTTGTGGTGGGTGCACTTGTGTCATCTCTAGTGGAGATAGTGAACACCAGCTGCCTAACAAAATGTCCCCAATAGAATGTAGTTTTCTTTGCCACCACCGCCCTTACCTTAAGATTATATTAATATATTTTATCTTTCATCTTCGGTCAAAAGTAAAATTGAGGAAAAAATCTGTTGTAAGTAACAGTGTTAGACCGTAACGGCTAACCACGTTTTATTTTGCTTGCGTTCCCTATGCGATCTCAGTGCCTCACGCAAGCGCCGGATTTGATTAGTCAGAAGACAATGATGAATGTAGCAGCTAATATAGCTGTATCTTGTTCTTCGTAAAAAGGGGTTGCCTATAATAGACACGTTCCAAATAGCCATCGAGCAAGATTAGCAGTCGCCTTTCCTTGGACACGAAGCGTCTGATTCGTTCCGAGTCCTCGCCGAGCTCTGACGCAGCACTCGCATCCAATACGAGCGAGGCCGAGTTCAATCCTAATGGTGACGTCACCCTCGTGTCTAATACATGCGCAGTGTTTTGCTTGCCCAAACAATGGCGAAATCGAATTATAGACGCAGCAGCTACTAGATGGCGCGCGGACGTCTAAAAAGGGTCTATAACAAGTGCGGGCGCCTAACACCTCGTTCCAGACAATGACAAATGTCCCGCATTGTATGCATGAGGGTGCCTTCCGCTTTCTCATTGATCGGTACTTTCAAGTAGGCCCTTTCCGACGCTGCAAATAAGCACGCGCAGTCCTAGCTTGTGTGGACGCCCGGTATTCTTGGTAGCGCTTACTTAGTGGTACCGGCTCTCAGTAATAGTATAGAGTCATGGCTGTCCCAAAATTTAAATTGCGACATGCCTCAAATTTACCCGCTCTGGTTTGATAAAAAGAATAAAGGAATAAGGTTTGGCTAAATATAGAGGTACATCAGACACAATTTGTAGGTTTCCGATAGCTGGTATAAACTGCAGAACAATTAGGTAAAAGTTCCATTGAAGCGTGAAGACACTCACCCTAAGGCCAGAGCTGAGCACTCTTCCAACATTCTGGAAGCATCCGTTAGTCTTTTGTTTTGTGGTGACCCACTTGATGCTTTCCTTCAGGTTGGCGGCGTCAATGGGGACGTATTTCTCGGCCTGCTTAAAAGACTTCACAACGAAGGACGTGAGGAACATGCTGCCGGTTGAGTCGCTCGTTCCGAACGCGCTGTAGGATCCGTCTGGGTGCCTGTACTTCATCTGACGCTGGTAGCCTGAAATTTGAAAAAGGGTGGAAGGAAAAAGGAAACGTCACTCAAAATGATAATTAAACTATGAACTGTTGCTTCATAGTGCATAAGACGCTCCTCCCCAGATCTTTGCAGGAAAACTTTACTTGATAAGAATTCATCCTTCTTTCCGGTGTCGAAATTCGACACCAAAAACATGCGGTCCTTTAAGCTTGTAGAGTTGCTTGGAATGAAACATTATATAACCCAGTGATCTGTCTGATTCAATATGTCGTTTTCTCGATGCCCTAGTCTCGTTCACAAGAAGGGAAATATACAGTAGTCAAGCTAGGGGTCTACTGTGTAACCAAAGGACTTCACTAAGCTTATTTGTTTGTATTTGTGGGCGTCAGAAAACTTGCGTCCATAACAACCAGACAAATAATTATGTATTTTGCCAGCTGGTTCCCAACTTGCTTTTCATAGTCCGGCGCGTGGGTCTCTATCTTAAAGAGCGAGTCAGAGTGGTTCCCGAAAATCTTGTATTCATATGAGGTGTTTATATTAAAGGGGTGTGTATTGACCAGACACGGCTATAACGTTTAAATATGTGAAAAAAAAGCTTATCTTCTGTATTTTTATAATACAAACAAATAGTAACCTGCCATTTGGTCTATACGAACGTAGTTGATTCCACTGTTTACGAGAATCACAGCCTACATGTGTTAGGTCACAGCCCAGCACGCGCATGTTCGCTTTGGAAGGCGAGCAAAGTACGCGCCACACGCAGACTCTAAGAAAGGCTCGAGGTACACCTAAGCACTTCTTATGAGTAGTGAATGCAAAAGCCCGCTTGTCGTTCTTCCGCTTCCTTGTTTCGTCTGCGGCGTATTTGCGTCGGCCGCGCGCGCGCTTTCTCACCTCTCATTGCCGCTCTGACCTTGGACCCTTTTTTGTTACCGGCGCGCTCGCAGCGCGGACAGGCAGCGCCATGGGGTGGTGGTCCTTGAAACTGACGCGCAGCGGCCAATAGGAGCCTCGTTCCTTGAAACTATGATGCGCGCCAGCCAATGGGACTGAAGCCGAAGTCCATCGGCTTCACTACGCTCCTTTGGGATCGGGGGAACCAGGTGCGGTTTAGCTAGGCTTTTCGCGTTATTTCAAAATTGGAAGATCGCGACTTCCCTTGGAGAAAGGCGTTTAGCTGCCGTTTAGGGCGGCTTCAAAGCTGATGACGTCGACTCGCTCCGTGGGACAGTTAATGCTTTCGCATTAAAACTTGGTCTCCGCAGTCTCGTTTTCGCGCCTGCTGAACAGTGTTTGGTATTTTGCAGACTAGCACCCACCAGTCTTGAGGTTCTCGACAGCCTTCTTCTCGATGTCCTCTTCGTGCTTTCCGGTAGCCTTCAGGTAGTCCAGGACGTAAACGTTCGGCGTGAACTTGATCATATTCTGCTCGCCGCAACCCGTCGGAACACGAACAAGGGAATCCAGGTTTTGAACGGCCGGGCCCATAATGTCGCCTGCAAATGTTCGAAAAGACATACCCAAAAGCGAAAATGACCAAAAGAAAGACCTTTCGTTAACTTGTGCCCCATCATTCAGCCCCTTTGTAAAAACATTCGAGAACAAATACTTAAGCATATATTTATATTGCTCTCGTACTTATGAACTTGAGAAACGCATGACGTGGCAGATTATGATAACGCTCCTTCCTTCGTGCTTTGTTTGCGTTCTTATCGTGGAATGCCATGGACTCATTGGCTGCGGAGCAAAAATGTGCTACTCCGAACTCGACATACTCTGCAATTCTTGAACCGCCTTTGACTTCGCTAATTTAATAAACACACCACTTTAGGTTTTTCCACCTTATCTGTCAGACTAGATCCACGTGCGAGCCGCATCGTTTAAATACGAAGCACACTAGAAGTTTAATATACCTAAACTTTAGTATGAAAGAAAGAATACACATGAGAAACAAAGACAATACAACCACATCTGTCATGGAACAAAATATGTGGTCGTGTTGTGTTTAAACAATATTATTTCTTTCATCTTGACCCGCACCAGTACGCTCTTCGCCCGACAATACATGCATAAGTTAGATACTGGAGCTATACCAAGAAATAATGAAAAAAGTAAATGTTTGCCACGTAACATATATATATATATATATATATTTCACTTCGAGCGCACTGCCTTTTACAGAGGGGTCTCTTTAGAAAATAGCGTGCTTCAGAAAGCTAAATGTCTTTAACAAAACACGGAGAAAATAAGAGCACTGAAATCTTAAGAATAACAGTGAGGCGTCAATTACTGCAGCCCTTTTGCTTTGTGATTTCTTCTCAGTGGTTTCAATTGATTATAGGGTGATATTTTTGGGGTCATCCAGCAATGAAGAAGTGAACGTTCTCCTGTTACTAAAATGTTCCTTAGTTCTCTGACATGCGTGAGTGATTTAATTGGTCTTTGTGATCACTTCTCGTTGAAGGCTAATCAACCCACCTGTGACGGAAACGTATGCTCTCGCAGAACCTTCGACCAGATCATCGGGAAGAACCAAGTCAAACTCGTTCTTGCCATCGCCCTCGGTGACATCTTCGCACAAAAAAAAACAAAAAAAACAAACACATAGGTGTCAGGTTGGGAACTGTTTAGGAAATGATAAAATGTTCTAATTTCGGTGTAAGATTATATTTGCTTGCGCTTACCTTTGGGACAAACAAATACGCTCTTGGTTTCCTCCTTGGGGAACCCTTCAGCCTGTAAACCACATAAAAGAATTCCATAAATGCCGATCCAGTCGACATTGTACACAGTCCATCTTTTGTGTAATTATGGAGACTACTCCATTCAGTGATTTTATGCTCTACTTTAATTTTTCTACCTTCTCTCTTTTTCTACCTTCTCCTTCTCTTTTTTCTACCTTAAAAAAACTAAGCACCAGAAGCGCTCGCTGATCAAACAAATATAGACATCTTAAGCACCTGAGGAGAAACAAGACCCAACGGCTTTTGTGTACACATTTTTATTGAAGTAAGTGCATTGGTGTGGACGTCCCGGAGACGATTTACCATCTCTTGAACGAAAATTCATGCGAGAATGCTCGTCGAAACAAAAGGCCTTTAGTCGGACTTCGCTGGCGCACGTGGAGTGATATTAATGTTTCAGTATTTCAATATGCATACCTATTATAGAAAAGTAGTTTCCATTCAATTAAGGTAATAAAAAGCCTAAATATTGTCAGGCTGCCACTCATATTTTCTTGCGCATAAACAACTCATGCAAAATTTATCTCACTATTCCCAGATCTAAGAATTCCCTGCACTAAAGTTTCTGTTTCCGTGTGGAATTAATTTCCAGGTTTTATAATAACCTTACGGGGCCCTATCAATTTACAAAATGTTCTCATTGGCTTGTTTAAAATGCATCCACCTGACGACTTTTTTTTGTGCATTCTTATGTGTAAGCTAACATGGTATTTTGATGTTTCGTTCCCCCCCCCCCTTATTTAAAGTAGCCTGAGGGCAATTTAGGACAGCACGAAATGCATAAAATAAACCAAATTAAGTGGGAGAAAACAGTTATCTTACCTCAATAATAAGCGGGCGGGTAACTGCGTCCCTCGCGACCACCTTTTCCACCTTCTGGTCACCGCAGACAGTGTCACTGTTTGATCCCGCAGCCGACACCGTGAAGTTCACTTCTCCGATTGTTTTCGGCCGCACGAGGAACTTGTGAGTGAGACTCTTGCTGCCGCACACGCAGAGCGTGGTGGATGCGCTGTCCTGAATTGTGTAGTCTTCGCTTTCGGCGAGTGTGAGACCGATCTAAAAAGAAACGATGTGAAATCAGGCCTCTATTTTGGGAACGTTCTACGTCGAACATGCGGGCGCCATGCGGTATATACACAAGTCATCCCGGGTTCTACACAGCTTTATTATGCTGCCATTGTCATCTTGAATGGCCGAAATTCGTGTGTGGGCGAAAACACCGTTTTGGTTGAATTGATTATTCTTTATAGTTTTACATCTATAACCTATTATCAAACCACGTGGTTCACGACAAGAGTAAAGGAAAAGATAGACGGGTGTTTTTCATGCTTTACGTTTAAGTTAAAAGACGAAAAAAAAAAAAAAAAAACGTTGAAAGCTACACTTATATGGTTTGTTCAGTTCGGTTATATGGCCTAAAGAACATAATATGAGGGAATTGTCACACTTAATCGGTCAAATAATTGAAATGTATTAATTACATTTTAATTCTGCAGAAACCGAAAAATGATTTAAATTAGAAACTTCCTGATACTGATCCAAAACCGCACTAAATCTCTCAGCGTTACAAAGATTTTCAGCGCGTAAGAATTCGCTGTGGGTTATATTTACCACCCCGGCAAAATGTAGAAGGCTGACAGTGCCGGAGCGCGAATGATAAGAGACAAAAGAAGCACACGAGCGTGTTTTGGTTACGACAGCCTTTCATCTGTTACCCGAGTGAAAACTTCGGCGCACGACAACGCATCTCACGCGCTCAAAGTCTTCTTTTCGTTGACGCATCAGCAAGTTTTTTTTTTTTAACAATTCCTGACTGCCTAATTAAAAAGTAAATAAGAAATTCAGTTAAGTATCTTAATTATCGTGACTATTATTCTCGTATATTGTGACCCCATGGCGGTGTAACGCTCCTCCGCACACCGTATTAGTGTAGCCTTCATGACTTATTAAACACAACATGTAAAATCTACAGAAATCATACTCCATAGCTATACATTGACAGATATTGAACCACACACTTCCATCAACAATATCACCCTGGCAATTGGAGCCAGATCTTCTGACCCAACTCCCCCTCCTCGAGCCCTTCCCTCCTCGCAGCTTTATGACGTGCTCGGATTTCTCCGGATATTAATATATGTCGCGTGCATACACCCTTAGCGACAAGATTTTAGCCATGAGGGCTGCATGGGAAATCTGGGTTCATGCGTTTGCGCTAACGGTCTCTCGTTTTGTACGCGGACGCTTTACAGTGTGGAGTTGTTTTGAGCAGTACTTACGGGGAGGCACTTCTCAAGGTAATTGAAGACGGAGACCTTGACGGGCACGAGTTCACCACGTACCACGGAGTACGGCAGTGAGAAAGAGGCGAAAAATGGCTGGAATGCCTTGATCTTCGCCGGGTCCGAGACACCAACGCCGTCCTGAGAGTTGATGCACACGGTGCTTCCGACCCACTCAGTGATCGTGTGTGGAATCTTCTCCTTGAAGGACAGTTGACCGTTCTCGCTGAAAAAGCGGAAAGAGGTCCAGAAGTTTGAAGTCCGATAGTGTCTTTGGGGAACGAGTTGTTCAGCAGGAAACCATCCAGGTTTTAATTGTAAGATGTCTACTTGTAAGATGTAGCTTGTGTTCGAAACCTGCTGCTGCGTAAAACCCACAAACAATTGTGCCCTAGTTACTCTATAGCATTGCTTCTGAAAGCGGTTTTCTAGAAATGCAAGCATTCCATCGTACCCTCGAAAATTCTTACCGCCATAATGTCTTCTGACATTCCTGTTTCCTAGTAAAGTATACACAAGTTTTAGCTGAATGTAGTTTTATTAGGTAACATCCCCTTGCGTACAATTATGTTCCAAATGTTCCCGAGGTCTCATATAGTGCGTGCGAGTTTACTGCTTCAATGTCAAGATCCGGGGGGTCGCTTGGCTATCAGTAAAATTACCGTATATAGCCGGTCCTCAAGATTAAACAGTCAAACTCCGTACTGCAAAACTAAGGTAGTCCAATCACTGCAATCGGAGCAGCACGTCCGGTGGATAGCTAATCTTCGTTTTCACCTTACGTGGAGGCCCGCCAGCAGCTAGGAGCTAACGGGACCAACCAATCAGCATCAAAAGCGTACGTCACGAGGCGTTTTCTGTTTATGGTTGATTCAGAAACAATAGAACATGTACAAACATATGATGATGATACGCTTTTGACGCTGCATGATTTGCCCCATAAGTTGGCAGTGTTGGCTGCATCTGGACTTCAGGCGAAACGCAGTATAGTAATAGATAAAGGGGCCAAAACGAAGATTTCCTGATTGTATGAAAAATGCTCGTGATTCTAGTATTATTACACTAGGGAATCGTGCCGGGCGTCCACAGATCGGTTGCTTTCAGAGTATCTTTTCGAAATTCTTTAATTTATAACAGTCGTCCTGTCCTTAAAGATCCGATACCTAAATAGTGACATTTACGCAAAAATAAGTGAGTGAAAACTCATTGTCATCGATGATATGTGGATTAAGTTTTGGAGCTATACCGATTTGTGGAATTCGACATTCTGTGGACGCGTTTTCGTAGATCGGTGTGATTGGCCCTTCGACTGCTTTATGCGAAAATAGCTCAGCAAGTGCTTTAAGGTTGAGTATCACTGGCCGATGAGAATATGCGCATTGTGCATGGGCAAGACTCAATAGGTGTTTATACGCTTATTTAGTTTTCTTCCAACAAACAAAACAATTAGGTCACAGACACAGCATAAATAATTTATGCTGTGTCATCGGTCAGGAGACTTTCGAGCAATATAGTACGAGCGATCCATTAGGCAAGAAGAGAAGACTGATCCATACAACGTCTCACTGTAACTTGGAAAACGGTGAAGGCTGTGGTCCCAGTGGGCCAACCAGAGCGTCGGTGGCACACACGTGACTTTATCTGACACGTGGCGCGCAATTGTGTCAAATCCACGGGATGTAGGATAAGTAAAGCCGCATTTAAGCAAGGGAAGAAATGTGACGTTTCAGACACACAAGTGAGAATTCGAGTAAAAGGGCATATTCTCGTCCTCCTCTTCTACAACTACTTAAGTTACGCTATCGCCCTTACAACTTTGGATGAGGGCTGTCACAAGGTTTGCCTCCGTCACTCTGATGGTCTGGATGGGGCCATGGCGTTCGTTCTTTGCTGAGTGACGGTGAAACAAAGCAGAGTAGCCTCAGCTTGTTTATGACATGCGTAAAAGCCACCTGGCAACATTTTCATCGTCTTTATAATATTTGATGTCGGCCGGCGTGGTTAGCTTTGGGACGCATCCTCGGGGGCGTGTTTTCCTCGCAGCTTACTCGAGTTCCTTGAGATCCCACAGCCACGTCTCCGGGAAGTAGTTTCGCACCTCGACGGCCGACTTTGCCGGGATCTCTCGGTTGACGGCAATGGCCTCCGGCAACGAATCCAGGGTTGCGACGGCCGGGGCACCACCTACAAGACTAACTCTATTGGCAAATGCGGGTGGCGGAGGCGGGCCTGCCAGAGGGATTGGTGAGGGGTACCCTATTGTTCCGAAAGGAAAGAAAAGCATGACGCGTCAGTTTGATCTCTGGGGCCGCGCGCCCAAGTGCCATTCGGAAAGATTGTCTGTCTTTCTTTTTTTTTTAACGTCTTGTTTTAAATATGTTTATTGGCTGCCTGTGGGGTTGTTTATCTAAGGAATTTATCCCTGCTGAAAAATACTTTAGACTTGCTTCTCCGGTGGAGGTGTTGATTTGAATCAAAGTGGCTGCTTGGGCCGGTTCATTAACCTTGAATTTTAGTCACTGCAAACTTAAAACACAGGGCACGGTGATTCCTGTGCGTTTTATTACCCCTCCGCAGCCAATGAGACTGCGACATAAGCCAATAAGAGCTCCGGATAGCCAATCAGGAAGTAATGAATTGGAAAGTAATGGCCACCCACTCCGTTTCTACAAATGTCAGTGACTCTCGTTTTGTTTTCTCGCTTCTAGTTTTTTTTTTTAGGAGCACTTGCCCGAAACCCTTAAGAGAGAAGTCGCGGATGCTGGAAAATAAGTTTCTTTTATTTATTTATTTTTTACTAAAAATGCAGGGTGTTCAAGGAAATGGTTAAACCACATCCAGTTCAGGCATAGACTTGAAGCTATCGGAGCTTTACGGTGAATAATTTAGTCGTAGTGAATAACCAATTACACATTTCAATGACAATCTTTCTGAATAGCGCAGGGTGTGCACGCGGCACTATGCTTAGAGATACTAATGCCGAGGCAGAGGCCAACCACCAGGAGAGGGGGAAAGAGCGCAAGAGTGAGGCAGGTGCTGGAGGTTCTAAGAATATTGAACCGCGAACCTTGGAACCGGTTACGTTGAGCATAAAATGCGGTCTTTTGGCCGTATCGGGAGCCGCCGCGAGCTGCGAGGCATATGGGAGAGGCAATGTTAGATTTGGGTAAAAGAGCAGACGGTTCATTTCTGACCTTTAGATCTATATCCAGCGGCAAGGAAATGTCTACTCCCTAGCGAAGCGGCAAAAGCAGAAGAGAAAAAAAAAAGATGGTTCAATTAAACTCTGGTCAGAAAATAATTCAACAACAAAAAAGCGCCAAATGAAACATAAAATTATAGAAATATTGGCAAATACAAAGGTACTTGAATACATAATTTTTTTTTATAAAATTGTGTTGTTTTTTTGGAAAATTACCTTGCGATTCGCAACCATTGAAGGCATATATTTTAATGCGAGTGTGTGTCATTCGCTAGTGGATTGGCGCCATTCATGACGTGGATGGGCAGTTCCCTACGACTGATTGATCGTTATACATTCCCCAAAATATATGTGTTACATTCTAGGCAAAAGTGCGGCAGAGTATGAGGTCAAAAATGTTTGAGGAAGTAGCCAGTGACCAACAGCTTCGTCAGAAATAAAAATGAATGCTCTTGGATTTCTGAATATTTAATACGACTTCATTAACAGGAAAAACTTCCCTGCTCAGAACAATAGCAAACAAAAAACTGTCTCGAAGGTTGTGAGGCACACGTGCTCGGCGTTTTGGAAAAATAAAGCAGGTAAGACTGGGAGATTTATGTAGTCTTTATACATGACCAAGAGGCTAATATGCTGCCATGAACATTCCGTTTCTCATACCACGAACGACATATTTATGGGAGAAGCGTATTTGATCCTTTATTTTGTCGAGCATTGAACCTCTCTAATACCACACGTTATTTGGTAAAAAAATTTTTATATGAAAAATAGAAGTGTTCGTCATAAGGTGTTTTTGTGAATAGCCGTCGCTTCGTCCGGTCTAAATTTCATTAAATAGCATATTGGTCAAATGTAAAGTTTTGTTGGGGAAGCTAATCTACGGCTGCTCGTTACAGATGTCTAATAAAACTTACTTATCACTTACTTTTAAGCATTGTTTGATTAAAAGTATCTTCATATTTTTTCTAATTAGTGTTTTTTTAAAGGGGTTATGATTAACAGTTCAAATTCGAAGGCGAAAATATTCTTTCTCTAATTTTCCATAGTTGATTGTTGTTTGCAGCGCTACAGCATGGACAAGGTGTCTTCTAAAAATATTTAAGATGCAAGAACCATTAGCAGCAGAACAGAATAAAAATAATTTCTCAAAAGATCTGCTTTATTTTGTACCAACCTTAAGTTTTAGTCAGCAACTTGATTTAGTGTTTAGGATACTGCAATCTTCTATACTGTCTCGAAATACCACATCTATACGTTTTTGTTAAATCATAATTTAGTAGGAACCAATGTTTCACAAGCTATCACTGCTATAATCGTGGCAGTCGCAGCACAAACAAGGGCTGTTAGTATTTATTGCTGAAAGGATACCAGGTGATGCACCAAGAAATACTGAGTCTAGAAGAATAACACGCATTCACAGGAAAGTTACACATGTTGTATTAATCAGAATATGAAATGGAAAACGTTTTTGAAGCCAATTTCTAACTTTCATAAACCTGTAGTAATTAATTTATGCACTTTAGCTACTGTGAAACACGAGTTGTATATTGGGGTGGGGGGTGGCAGTTATTGGGTGTTTAAGCGAATAGCTCGGACCACGTGGAGCGAAAACTTGCATCCTCGGCGTGCGGGCGTGTGTCACTAATGCGTGATGCACGTTAAAGACCCTAGGCTAGCATTGGTAATGCACCCGTTAAGCATCGCTTCTAGTGTGTGGACACCAGACGCCGACTGGAGCGTCTTTACGCTGTTTAAATGAACATGTAAAACGGTTAATTTTACGGTTTTCTTCAAGTGATGCAGCCCCACTTGAAAAAAAGCTCATTCCTATTGTCACTGATGCAGAATGTACACTGCTGCATAATATCTGTAGTCTGTCTTATTTCTTTAACGCAGTAAAATAAAAACAAAGATGGCAATTTAAACGTATCGCGGCGCAGTATATGTTCAAGGATTCCTGAAGCTTTGAGCAATTTCAGGTATGTGAAGAAGTAATCCAGTAGAAACATAAAGGTGAGGAGCTAGAGAAGCAAAAATGGAATTTACTAAGTTATATGCTCGCCCGAAAATGGTTCGCAAGGCAGTTTTAATCCTGCAAAAAGTGTCGATTGGAAGGACCTCTCAGGCATAATCAAGACTGCCAAATAACGTCATCTACCACATATAGGACCTTTAAAGGCCGCAGATAGCAAATGGTACGTTTTGATTTGTTTCTCCATAATGTAATTTGTGAAGGATGCATTGCCCTGATTGCGGGCAACGCATCTCTAGAGGTAAATAGGAAATGTTTGGATTACATAAAAAACTGTTACCGCCAGCCCTGCGATCATGGCTCGGCAATTATTACCTTACGTCAATGAACTCATTTTGAAACACGCTTAAGTTACACTGATAATAATCGCACGTGCAGTGAAGGTATTGAATAGAGCTAATATAGTAAGGGTGCAGGCGAGCTGGTGAATGTTAATCATGTTGAATACACCTGAGACTGGGGCAGAAATGAACATATAAGTCGAGGAAACAGAAAAGGACCGGACGACGTCTCAATACCGATCCTGCATGTACACTGCTGCGTAATGAATATTTGAATAATCCAGAAGTGCCTTCCAGATACAATAATCAAGATCATCAACTCTTGTTATTACATTATGTCAAGTTCTGTACAATAAAAGTTGTAACCCCAGCTTTCGTTACTCAGAGCCCTTTCAGTCTGAGTCGTCACATACTGCTGTTTCAGCGAAGATTTTCAAAATCCCTAGAAGGAAGATGGTTGTGGGAAAAATTACATAGTAATGTGATTAAGCTGCCAGTCATTGCAAACGTGAGGTAACAAAAAACATGCCAATTAGCTTAATATTAAACTAGAATTTACTAATTAACTTTTAATTAGTAAAAACAAATAGCTGCTTTAATTGAAAACTTGCTGATCATCATCGAGAACCTCAAAATGCACTCATTTTAGAAATGCATTAGCCAAGTGTGTCCGTGTTCTCCGTCCACATGTCCTGCGTCTTTTTGCGGTGCTTTAATACCATTTTAACATGACCAGGCAAGTAGCCCAGCTACACACCTTGTCGTCGTTCCTTTTTTTTTTTGCATCGGGCTCTTTTATGTCTTCTTCCAATCAACCCTGTGACGAAATCTACATCATCGCCTTCGTCATGGTGACGTGTAAGGCAAAACAGTTCGGATACGCCGCGAAACAGGATATTCTTCCGCCTGAGGTAGCCGATCTTTTCGGGTTGATGTTCCCGTCGTCTGGACATGCCAAGCGCATGTGTACGATTTTACGCTCCGAGGCTTGCGGCAAGTTAGGCTGCTGCAGGATGGTCTAAAATCTGGTGCTATCGGACTTTGAGTGAAGAGCGTGTTGCGGAGGAGCTGCGACGTTGTAGAAGAAAGCTTGTGCTGGCGGCGAAATTTTTATGGAGCGTATTCGTGCTTCGCTGCCGAAGAAGCTCAAGGAATACCAGAGAGGGGAGGAGGGGGGATCAACATTGTGTTATTGGGTGTTACTTATACTCCTGCTTCTGTCGTGAACATTCTGAAGAAATGTCCCCCGTATGCTACCAAGCCGTTGGTCAGGCCTCCATATGTGCTGGGCCTGGTGCGACAAGCGTCGCAAATAAACGACCCCTGAAAACAGGGAACGTTGCGTCCTGGAATGTGCGGAAAAGATTTTGAAGGGGTTGGAAGGACCGTGAGAAGGAAGAAGTTAGGGGCGGTTATGTCTTTTTGTAATGATTCACGGTTAAGGTTGCTGGTGTCTGACAAAAAGGCGGGTTTTGCCGTGGTGCCTCATGGATTGTACTTTGAGAAGGCCAGAAGGGCGATGGTAAATACATGTAGGCGTTGTTGGGGGTTGAATAGAAAAAGGTTATGGCCCATAGTGCGCAGTTCTGTGGTGACATGGGGCTCGATTCGTTAAAGGTGTACTCCGCCGATTTCTTCATGGTCCCCGATTTGCTTTAAATTTTGCTAAACTCGCCAAACAACATCGCCAAAATAGTATCCCAAATATTAGGTCAAAATAATTTTTTTTCACGAAGTTATTGAATTTACAATTTTGGTCCTCACCGTGTTTTTCAAACTGAAAGTCTCTACTGGCAACAATGAAAAAGTGACGTCATTGGAAGTGCAGGGGTTCACTCTTTTGACTGTAGAATTTGTTTCCAACTGATTTGAAGCAGTTTCATGGTGTCAAATGAATGTCTTGGAAGCTCGCTCCAGTCCCCGCGCTCCAGCACGGAACAAATAATTGGCATATTCTATTTTTTAGACTACTCGCCCGACTGGCAAGCTGAACTTCCACTGACGTCACGGCCCTGAAAAGGGCGGGTATATTTGAATGTCTGTTTTTGCATCATTTTCATTTGCCGATTTCGCAATAACTATTATGAATTTCACGATATTAAATAGCATTCCAGAAAGGGTAAAGGCCTGGGAGTCAGAAAATATAGTTAGTTGAGGTAGCTCAAAAATCGGCGGAGTACACCTTTAAGCAAGTCTGTGTCGGCGGCAAAATATCTTAGTCTGGAGGTGCTCTTCACAATACAGACTCACAAGGAGTTGATGCCATTGAGATCCATCGTCAATCAGAAAGGTTCCTGGCAGGTGCAGGTGTCATGTTTTCTGCTGCGCCACCTGTCGCCACTTACACTCGACGACACTTGTGTTCAGAACTCGGAGGCCTTAGTTCAATATCTGAGGGAAGATAACCCTGGATGGTGTGACCGGGTGTTGTTTGATGTGGAGGATATATTTTATTCCATTTCCCATCACGACCTCATGCGGACCGTGGATGAGCGCATTGACACGTTCGGGTTTTTGGCCTTCTGGAGCTCCTTTGGAATTGTGAGTGAAGCCTTCCTTGGGTTAATGCGTTTTTACATCATGCCCGCCATTGTTACCTTTAAAGGCGAATCTTTTTTTTTTTTTTTGTCAAAAGAGCGGTATATGTATTCCGTCAAATCTGGCGCCTGTTCTCAGTGACATTTATTTAGGGAAGTGTGATAGGGCAATTCCTGAGAGGTTAGATGAACGGATGATTAACTAGCTTCGGTATGTCGCTGACTACCTGATTGTGCTGAAATCCAATGAGAACTCAAGGGGCAAGAATGTGTCTTCCTTGATATTGCATTTCTTCACGGAATGTTCTCTGGGCCTAAAGTTCTTACTGTGAAACCTTAATTGAGGGTGCCCTACAATTTTTGTACCTCAATCTTCGGTGTGAGCCCTCCAATTTGTGTTGGTCCTATGAGACTAGGTCTAAGAGGAGACTCCTTGGGTATGCTTACGAACATTTTAAGCTTGTAAAGCGAGCCATGGTAGTGTCTAGTCTGCGCGCCGCCTTGTTGAAGTCGCCCAATTAAGGTGTGGTGACAGTTTTCTGATGCGGATCAATATCTTGTCCAATTCTGGCTTCTATTTGGAAGTTTTCCTGGTTGTTGTAGAATCTTTGGTCAAGGTGTTTAGAGTGTCTCTTTGTTCTAATGCAAGACAAAGACCAACTTCAAGAGCTGTGGTCTTTCCGTGTGTTAACAAGGTGTCCCACGGCATAAAAATATTTGCCAGCAGTTACAACGCAGCCTGGTGTTTTCAACACCAACCAATTTGTATTAAGCGAGGTGGATGCCCCGGAGCGCAGTGTGAGGTCAACCACCGCAACCGGTATGTCGCCTGCGCTTGTGGCGTGGTGTACCTGATCCCTTTGTCCTGTGGCAGAGTGCTTGTTTGACAGACAAGGAGATGCGTCAATGACCTGACGAGGGAACAGTCTTTCCCCGTGCTCCTCTCCGTCTGGCCACCTCGCGATCCATTGTGATTGATGTACATGTTCTCCGCTATTTCATGACATTAAGAGTTTATAACATCCCAGAAGCGAGTCTGGCAGGAAAATTAAAGAGGCCCTTTTTATCGCCTGCTATGACGCGTGCTGTGTGTAAGCGCTCCCTCCATAGCCCTAGCGAGTGACGAGGTTGATTTTATTAGAAAGTCGGGCAAGCACGTGTAGGTGTGTGTCGGCATGATGGGGAGGGGTGTGTTACCGGGTTGATTTGTTTTTGTGCCGTTACTGTTCTTTTTATGTTTAGTTGCTGCATCATACAGAAGCAACTATTTTTCAGTTTTAAGTCAGCACTGTTTGAGTGTTCTCCTTCCACTGGTTCTGCGTCTTTTTGTGTTGTTTTAATACAATTTCAACATAGCCAACCAACTAGCCTAACTACACACCTTGTTACAAGTGCAGCATTTAAAGCGTCTCGAAGAAAATGCTCAATTTGACAGGTTTGTAGGTTTTGGTTTTCTATCGTAGCGCATCTTTGCGGATGCGGGCCTCGACCACGTGGGGAAGGGCCGCTGGCGCAAATATGCACCCCAATAGCAAAGCGAAACGTAAAAACGTGTCCATAATTAGCGTCCCTTCGTAACGCCAAAAAATTATCACGTGCTCTGCACTTTTTTTTATACAAGTTGGTTTAGTGGCATTTGATGATGTTTGTAAAGATTCTAATTGAAACCGTATATTTACTTTTACTAAGTAAAATGGTAATTATCAGTAAAGTAGTGATTTGATCTATTTGGTACTTCATCATGATAAAACAGCGCACATAACACAGAGGACGAGAGAAGGATGTGTAAAAAAGGAAGAGAAAAGGACAGGTAGAAAGTTCTACCTCTCCTTTTCTCTTCCTTTGTGTTCTGTGCGCTGTTTTATCATGGTAATTATTAAGTGTTAGGTAATGTTTAGGTAATTAGTCTAGTTTTTCCTCCGCAATGGCTGGAAGTCCGCAATGGCTGGAAGTTTGTTTTCGCAGAGAATTGTTTTTCCTCAACAAACCAATTTTTAAGGTCAATTGAAAGTCTTCGCTATGGTAAGCGGTATATTTTCACAGATTTGGAACTCCGGTGTGCCACTGTTGACGTAAATCACTAAGGGAGCACAAAACCACTGTAACCAATTGAGTTAGCTCTGTCTTCAACGCAACTGAAAATTGCGATGTGGAACAGAGCATGTCGTTTCGCCTGATATCGTGCTCAGTATAATGTCCAATATTTATTTTGTGATCATACGTTTTTAATAATCCTCTCAGTTGGCTACGTCCCTCCATATATCGCTGGGATGGCACCTTACACTGGCTTGTGGAGTAGTCGCAAGGACATGTTTTCACATATAAATTAGTGCCTTAAGCTACAATATACTTTTTATAAATTACTCAAGCACCCAGAAGCACGGTGATGGTGTATGGATAAATGTACGACACGTGCTGGCCACGACAGCAATAAATGTTCTTAAGCGAAAACAAACATACAAAATTATCATTTAGAGCATGGACTTGCCAAAGTCTGATTTTAGTAACCTTACTTGACTCGGTAAGGCGAGCATGTTCACCACGTTTACCTAAAGTTCCCAGCACATTTCTATGGTGCCTAGGCACTTTCTTAAGAGGCCTATTGATCATAGTGGCTAACAATCCGGAACCCATTCAGCTATATTCAACAATTGTTTCTTCTAAAGATGACTCTTCAGTAGCACAGGCCATATTTGCAAGGCTTTAAGCACTTGTCCGCATCCTGTCATAAATGTCAGTTCACACTTTGACGTCACGTGATGTGCTACATTTAGCGTGAAAATTGTGACGTCCCATGACGTCACATGACCATGTGACGTGCGTGTTATTTCTCGTCAGCAAGGTAACGTCTGATATCACAATACCCCAGCTGCGAAATTGTGACTTCGTATCACAAATTTATATTTGTCCCTCTGCCACATTTTGACCTGTTGTGAAGAAGGATTGCATTCAATGTGGGGGAGAGTGCAGTGCCTCGGCTGTCGCTTCAGACCATTGGCAGCAACAAGCAATTTTTCCGCAATAGAGGAGCCTAAGAAAGTGCACATGACGCATGATTAAACTAAACGGCAAAGCTTCTAGTAGGTGCCAAAGAAAAGAATGTCAGTGTTGGGGAAAAAAGGTGCCAATACTAACCAGTATACGACGTGGAAGAGTACGAGACGCGCACTACTTGGTCGCCGCCACCAAAGGAAAGACGTGCAGGAAAAGGATGGCGGACATGCAGAAGTGTGGGGAAAAAGTTACGGGGAAAATAAATAGTTAGTGAACCAAAGCTGGTGCGTTGACGAGATTCAATTACTCGGTCTCACGGACGTACTTGCTGGAGCAGCCAGAGCGTACGGGGGTCTGTCGTAGATGGCTTTTCTGCAGGGCCTCGTCTCCAAAGTCAGGTCGGACATCACAACCATCCCAGATTCCTGTGAAACAAAAAGGCAAAACAAATGTGTAGCTTTATTTTAGCTTTATTTTATTTTTTTATTAGAGCCGGCAAATACAGAATGTGCAGCGTGTTTTGAGCTGTGTTCAGTTCGCATGACGTGAACATGCTCTCACGTGACGCCGTGACGTTCTGTTGTCACGTAGAATCACGGTATAACGTGACGAGTAACCTTCTGGTGTCCTATGACGTCACGGTGCCACGTCACACAAGTATGTCACGTGATATCACAGTGCCACAACATAGTTTCACGTGACTCCACGGTGTCATGTCGTCGTGTCACGTGACTTCATGGTGTTAGGTCATTGTGTGAAGTGACGACAATCACAGTGATGACGTGACGTGAAAAGAGCAGCAAATTTAGCGGGATATAAGTCTACTAAATTTGGTGCATGTGTGGTGGTCGGACTTTTGCGAATCACTTCATTTGTTTTTCCTGAGATCCCAATACCATAATCACCCTCACTAACAGGTTCACCTCATTCTTCGCCCTCATAACTATATCTTTCCTTCCCCCTCTCCTTCACCCAGCACAGTGTAGCCGATCAGAACCTATGTTCGCGTAAACCTTATGTCCTCTCATAATAAGCTTTTTTCTCCCTCTCTCTCTCTCCTTCAGTAGTCCCAATCATTAAGCGTTTCATCCGTTAAAATATAAATGAAAGGTTTCAATTTACCTAGCATTTCATTTCCATCTAAACAGCGACCAGGAGAAGAAAAGAGACATGTTTACTATCCACAGTCGCCGTCTTTTCTGGGCTGCTTTTTGATGAGGATTAAAGTTTACGAAAAGAAACTCTTAAAATTGTGGTTCGTAATGGTAAAGCAGAGTTCATAGAGAGCCTAAATCTGCAAATTAAGAGGGAATATCAAAGCCCAAGGGATGGTTTGCACAAAAATTCGAACTTTGTAGCAACACTGAAAATGATGTTCCATGTTCTCGTCATCTGTGCAAAGATTACCTCATTTTTTTATGTAGTCCAGATAGCTAACTTCTACTAACGTTGATGCATAAAAAGGAAGGCAGATAAGTCGCATTTTTACGTCAAAAATCAACAAAAGTGACTAAATAGAAACGTTTCTGTGTATGCATGTACGAGTGGAAGATAATAGAACTATCAAGCCAGGAGTAGAGGCTCAATCATCACAATCTACCATTGGTGTTTCACGCGAAATAAATCAGCTGGTTTACTGGTGGCGTCTTCAGCTCAGCCAAGCGAAGCCGTACGTGTAGACTCAGTCCTCAGATTTAAATTGATCACGTTGCACTGTGCCACAAGTTAATAATAGATATACCAGCGCCATAATTTAAAGATCTATATTCTAATTTAAAAAAGGGGCATTCACAGCGGCATTGTTATTTGCATCAAGGAAGCAATTTCTAGAGGAAAGCCATACCTTGTAACAAATAAACATTGTTGACACAAAAAAAATCTTTAAAGAAAGAATTTCAGCTAGTAAAAGTAAATTATCCTGTAGCTTGCGAATGTTGCCACGTCAGTTATTCTATCGAATGATTGCGCCGTAGATACGAGGCCCCGTATTAACAGATTATTTCTAACATACCGAAGTGCAGCATTTTTGTAACGATCTAAAGTCGCCATCTACTGCATATGCACTTGAAGGGAAGAAGCCTAGAATACTGAGTAGGTGTCCGTTTTTTGTAATGTAAGAAAGAGCGAGTCAAGAGGAACAGGCAGGACGAGCAGTGTAAACTTACATCGAAGGCAGTGATGGAGTCCACATACTCAACGTTCGAAGTTCGTGGTCCGTTCCAAATTGTGCGCTTGTATTGCTGTGGCTTCTTGGCCACTGTACAAAAACATATCGGCTTAGAGATCTACACATTTTAAAAACGAAATCAATAATGAGTTTGTTGGTTCTTCAGCGTTTTTGCGTAATATATCGCACGAGACTTCATCTTTCGCGTAGTGTACGCGGCAATACCGATGAACAAAAACTAGCATGAACTCTGCGAATGTATTTGTATGCTTAGAAAATTGCTCTTTGGTTTTAATCAATATTCTTCTAATGAAACAGCTGCCCTAAAATAAGGCTGAACTTTCTACCCTAGAGAAGTGAGGTTTATGTTTAAAGCCTGATGTAGTAGAATATTTAATAAGAAATCATTCCGATCTATTAGAGAACACACCTTCCAATTTCTGCATTACATATTAACTAAATACCAAAAGCTAATATTTATTCTTAATGAAAACCAATAGTTCATTTAAGCGTTTTAAATGTGACTGTTATACATACCATTAGTATTTCAAAAGGCCTAATTATCGATTACTTAAAAATGCTAGCTAAAGGTATTCCAACCGATTCTTAAAATAACTGAAACCAAAATAAAATAAAGGTACGGTGATCAAGTACTAATGAACAAGCGAGCCGGGGAACGCAGTCTCGCGCATACTCACGCTGTTTCCGGCAGTAATCATAGGACGCTTGCTTTGGCCATGTGTAGCGACTGATGTCAAGGCGTTTAAGTATCTCGTAGATCTGAAATCATCACAAAGACGAAAATTAAAATTCGCTAATAAACTTGAGATTACAGGCGCACACAATTTTACAACAAAGTTTATAGTGAACCTGTATAAAAATGTGCCACCTTTGACTACAAATATACTAAATAACACTTCTTAATCTTGAGCTTGAAACAAGGCGAAAGAAAATAACGAATAACTCGCCTGCACACTTTTGCTCCTAGAAATAAAACTAGTAGCTTAAGCATGCATATTAATATTGTCAAGTGGTACTTTTCAGCCGAAACACTTCAATTTTAAGGGCAATAAATTCAAACTGTAGAGCTTATATTATCCAAGTTTATGTCAATTTACGTACCTCCCCCTATCTCAAAGGAGGACCCGTGACTGAGTGGGCTAGCGCACACCAGCTAGGAGCCAATGGAGAGAAAGCTCGAGCTGCAGAACCCAGGGTTGCTGGGTTCATTCCCCACCCCTGCCCGTTTCTATCTTGTTGACCATCGTACCAGTGTGCGGTCGATTATCCCCACTACGTGGTGCACGTTAAAGACTTCACACTAAGGTTTGTACTGCACTGGCTCAATTGCTCATCTACAACTGATACCAGCAGTCCATAGGGGCTGACTAACTTTCGGCTGTATAAGCATACGCATAACACAATTACTTCTATTCAGCTCAAACTTTTAATCTATTCACAGCCACCATCCCGAATGCCTCTAGAAAAATAGTGTAGCCCCCAGTGACCCACATCGGTACTAGAGACAAGAGATGGCTTGTCATACTGAGAAAATACGTCATCCCAAGTTAAACCCTGTTCTGCCGTTAAGATATTTCTCAATTTGAGAATCACGTTCACGACACAAATCAGAGTTCCGGGAGAAGCTTAATATGCTATTCTTGCAAGTGACCTTTTTTTAACTTTTGTTTTTCATCTTTTTTTTCAATTTTGCCGACTGGTACATACCAGACAACTAGGCTTTTCGCCTACGTGGTGTCGTGCGGCGGGTGCATAATAAAAATTCTGGGATACCTTGCACAAGAAGGGTGGTGTTCAATTTACCATTAAGAGCCGACAGTTAATTTTCGACAACAAATGCAACGAGATTGCCAAACCTGGCAAAGTATCGCCGTACAAGAGATGCATCGCAAATGTATTTGACTACTAAAATACAGGTACATTTTTCAAAAATATCTTGATACAGAGCTACAGATACTCGAAGGTATCTTTAAAATACTATCTCGATACCTCTGCATCGCAATGCTGCCCTGCATTGCGAAAAGTGAACCCAACGAAAACTTGTTTTTCACTCGGCGTGCCCTCTCGATATATTATTCACTGTAGATTATCCGCACAAGCATAACCATTCTTAGACTCTCCTTCATATCAGTGAAACTTCATATGTTAAAATTAATGTATGTTGCTCTTCTTATTGTGCTGAGAGTTCTGTGTCGTATCTTTTGCATCTTGTAAGCATCATTCTTATTAGTATTCTGCCCTGTCGGAACATGCCAAAGTTCTTATGGGCTTTGATTTCTGCCTGGAGAGTTCTTTTAGTCCCCATTATTGTGTAATGACATCGTTTTAGCTAAATACTAAATTAAAACAAAATGTAGAAATGTTTACCCACCTAATATTCTTCTTTTTGCTTTTTTTAATGTACCTTTCAAATTTACATTTCATAGCTTACTTGAGAGTTTTGTTTTTAGCTTTCCCTGGCTTGCATTTACTTATTCCTTTTCCCGCCCTCGAAACAGTGGCAGATTCTTGATCTAGTCCCATAGCAAAACAAAGTTTGGAGACCTCTACTTCATAGCATAAATACCTTTTCTTTTGTAAGCTGATTGTCTTGCTTGAGAAGATGCACACTTTTGTCAACAACGCCCACGCCGCAGTAGGAGTGAGGTGATCCGTTAAGGTGAATGGCGGCCGATGTGGCTGGTTGAACCGTGTCTGAACCAAAAGTCATGGTCACCTAAGGAAAGAGAAGATTGCCATAGATTAAAATATACATTTGATTAGGCGGGATTTACATAGAAAAATGTTTTTAATAACAGGTGATTTTGAATATTTCAAGTTTATATGATGTTCTGTTTAAAAAAGTGATGTAGCTCGCGGGCCTAAAGACCTTCATGCATAAACCTCACTATGTCACATCAGCAGAAATTGTGGCAGCCTTACTTCACGATGGGTGCACATTTCAGCTATCATTTATTGCCATATATTTTGTTTTTATACCGCACATAAGTAGGAGTTATATCCACGATGCTCCTTGCAAGCCGTTTTTATGAACAGTAATAATAAATGTTTTTTTATAAGAGGAAGACTCAAAATACGTTGTATTTTGTGTCTACCTTTTTAGTTATTTTGTTTGTAAGACAGCTATTCATATTGTCTATAGTTAATAATATGTGTATTACTATTCGGTGTCCCACAACTTTAACACCTTTAGGGTGGTATAACAAAACTGCATTTAACTTCCTGTAACTCGAGTTCCCTCACGGTAATGAACACCATCCGTCACTTTTCCTGTTAGTCTGCGTGCAGAAGTTCCATTATTGGCGGTGTTTTCGGTGTTGTTAAAAAGCCCAAGCATCACGAGTGTCTCCGTCGACTGCAGAATTAAGTAAGCGCAATTGGGTACGAACGTGGCCGGAGGCATGTACCGTGGCCATTTTGGCCGGCGCTTGCTAGAATACCTGGACTGGCTTGCTAGAATACCGTCTTAGCTGAGACTAGGTGAAAGAAAGCACCGTAAAGGTTGTGACGCACGAGCGTCCCGAGACGCAGTTTGAGTCCCGCTCAACTGTTGCGGCGGCCTTGTCAGCGCTCTATTCCCCCCAGTCTCAGCTGATACGCAGTTTTTAACAAACCGGCCCTGAAAATTGAGAATACAGATCCCCTCCATGGGCTATTGAAAGCAGCTGCGATATCTCAATTGTAATACGACCACTGGATTTGCCAACGAACGAATAGCAAGTCTGATATTGAGAGCACCAGAAAATGCGTCTCAAGTAGATATTATCCACTACTGGCTCAGGTGCATTTTGTCCCGCAGTGATTTCCGGACCGTCGAACGCACAAGCGCTTCAGAAAAGCATATTCCATCGCAGATAAACAAAATACAAAGCGGTATGTAGCCATCGTTGCCACTTACAACTGTGGGTGACACGATTGAACCCGATTTCGCAGTAACTCCTACGAGTCGGATGACATGAGGACACGTACGGAACAGCAAATACGGGCAACATTTACATTTTTCAAACGTCAAGGCGCCAAACACTAGCGATATTCAGAAACATGGCCGCTGGAAGGAGCTGACGAAGCCAAGACGCCGCGGGAGCATTTGAAGGGGTAGGAGCAAGCCGCGCTTCACTATATGACATAGAGCAGAAGCTGTTGTTCATGGCGCAGCCAATCAGCAATTTAGGTGAAGCGGCGCTCCCCTTCAAAGTGACGCAACATTCCCAATAGGACGTTAAACATACCAGCAGTAGTCTCGTTCGAGCCACCCTAGTTGATACGCATGCTACCACAAAAACAAGGCGGCCTTACGTTGTTCTGAAGGCACTTCTCGACTTCGAACTGCTCGGCGTCAGCGATGACCTCCCCGTCTGGCCGGACGTAGAAGACGAGTACTTTGACCTGAGGCGCATAGTTGAAGTCCGGTGTTAGTTCGTATTCCAAGCTTCCGGTGGCGGCCTGCTCCTCGGCCACATTGCTCGGCAATGTTTCGTTTCGCTCCTCTTCAACCAGGTACGTTTCGTCCACCTCAGTCACGACGGCCTGGTCGGCCTTAAAGGTCACCGGCACCACAGCGTCCTTGAGGATATTGCCACGGGACATCACCTGATGAAAAGAAAATCAGCAATTATGCACGGGCTTATGCGGCAAGATAAAATTGTTTGCTTCAGGGAAATAGTTCTCATGTGTGTGCCCATCGTGTTTTAAAGAAACCGTTTTTCTGGACCCTCTGTAGGGGCGAGTTTCAGCGAAAGAAATGTTTTTCCAAAGCTGTTTTGAGTGCGGTGCCTAGTCCCCATCCGGCGTTTAGGACACACATTGTACATATTCCGCAGATTAAAAACAAGTATTATGCTGAGCACTCAATGAAAAATGTCTGCTTTATTAAAATGCAAAAAGGCTCGTACCTCACGGAAAGTAACATTATTTTTTAGGGTTGCATGTAATTAACAAATCCCTTACGTGTTGTCATCAAAAACCATCCTAACAAATTATCGTGTAGTTCACACCTGTGGAAAATTCGCACCAAGTAAAATTTCAGCTTTTAAACACCCTCGAGCAGAGTCCAGTAAATAAGGTAGGTATTTGCATATTCAGATTTCATAGTCCTTTATTACCATTTGCTTGTAATAATTTAGGATGCCTTTTTGCGTTTCTCAAATGTTTATTATCGTTACATTCTGAGTTACCAAATCTAATATTTTATATTAGGGACATTTTTAAGAAAGGCAGGGCATGACGACTAGGACGTAGATTGGGTGTTTTCATCTCAGCTGAGGTATATCTTTAGGGTCGAATTTTTAGTTAAGAAATGTATTGGTAGCATTCTTCGAGTGAAAGAGAACGTAATCGTCAAGATTGGCGGATATTTTTTGTTTTGTTTTGAAGTTATTGGGCATTGAAGTGGCCGAGGCGAAAACTGACGATTCTTCAGCCTGCCGGAGATGGCATGTTTGACCACTCGGTGTTTTTCACTTATCAAACTATTGCACTAGGAGTCTTTGGTGAAATTTTCAAAATAGTTTTCATTGTGCCCAAGGAAAAAAATTTATACTTTGGAGCATTTAAAAAAGGTAGAAATGTTTCTCTTTGATACGCGTTACATATTTAAGTTAATTCAATAAACTTAATATTATAAGAAAGCCTAAACTTAGTTCTTTTTTATTAATTATAATGTTAATATTGAATCTGAAAAACATTTAGTACATAAGTTTTAATTATCCAATCTTTCCAAATTTCGAGAAATCGGGATCGATCCTCTTAAAAAAGAAACATTGTAAATTGCATTTTTCTAGTAGTAGTAAGGTATGATAGCGGTTTACTATAAAATATATTTAGAAGTATTTTCTATTGTTTTTTTTCTTCTATTAAAGCTTGAATTTCGTGAAATGTTTATTGTGAGTGCTCCTTCGTATGGGTGCTACTATCGCGAACGTTGTGGCATTGATATGATTAGTGACCTAATATTAATACTTGTTTTAACATGTAGCGTGCAAGTAAGGGGTATTCTGCATAATGCAGAGTGAAAAAAACTCGGCATTTGCAAGTTTGCTAGCACTACACCCATAGGCCTTGCATAATCCGTGGCACATTTTCTTCGAAGTAGGCAAGACTTCCCATAAGTATTTCACTTACAACTCTGAGTTACAGATGGTATAAGTTAGACGGCCACCTAGTGGACCACGTCATCAAACCTGCGCCGGTCTGCCGGCAGTGTATCCAGCGGGCTTCAAAAGGCTCTCTGGGAAACGGCAAACGCGGATTATTGCAAAACTGGGCATTTGGAGGTCAGCTTTGATGTCAGCGCTGATCCTTCCCCCTTCCTCCTCCTCCTGTGCATCCTATCTGAAATGTTCTACATAAAAGGGAACAGTGGGGGCCAATTTGGTTCCTGTCTGTCTCAAGGAATCTTGAAGTGCTGGTGTTTACTCAATCTCCCTTCTAAGCTTCATGTACTTCAAAAGTGCGCTCTCTCATTTCCGGAAAGCCAGGAGCAGTAGTTTGTGCCATGGCTTGTGGCTTCAGTGCAGAGAGGCCAGTTTGCGCCGATCGTTAAATAAGGCACAAGAGAATAATTTATTACGGTCGCCGATTTCCGTAAAGTTTCAGCGCTTGGCATCAGTTTCCTTAAGAAAGTTCCACCGGCCGAGGCCGCCAAGGACAAACCCCAATGTTGTGTGCAAGAGCTGCTACACAATGTTCTTTTGTCCAATTTAAGAACATCAGCAAGGGCAGATATCATCGAAATCGAGCTCATCTTCACCAGCGTTGGCGCCAGCGGACACACCACTCGCGACAAGGAAAGCCTAATTAAAAAAAAAAGGCGGAAGCAATCGACGCTGTCGAAGTGCGACACACTTTGCAGCGTAAGTCCGCGAAGACGTGCCGTCTATGTTAAACAGAAACAATCCGGAGTGACCGTTGCAGAAAAAAATTAGTCCTAAACTGAGCCTTGTGTATGGTGCACCTGTAGAGCTGCACAATTAAGGGTCATGTTCCTCATCCGAACAGTGGGTCAGCCATTTGCGTGTGACCTATCTCCAAAACACCTCGGAAATAAGACGTTACCGCATGTTAACTTTGTTCCCCTCCGGTATCAAAAAGAAAGGCATTTCCAAGCAATCCTTGAAACCGCTAAAAGTACGCTCTACAGGTAAAAGATATATTCAGAACAAAAATTAAGATTTTCGACAGATGACCCATATGAAGGACATCCAGTTGACGAAAATAACCTTCTTCTTGCTTTAGCCTATTACATGTTAGACGCTACTGACTGCTCAAGGAAAAGCCAACATAAGAAAAGATGTGCGGCTTTTCGTTGACGGAAAGAAAGTCTACATGAGAAAGCGGTTCATGACAAGATCGATTAGCAGAGCCTAGTAAAACTTCAAAGCCGCCCATCCCCAAAGCGGACCAGAGTTGTCTAATTATGTTATATATATATACGATCTGTCAAGCTTTACGATGAACTTGTTGACGATTCACCGACTTTATTTCGCGCATGACAATTTTAACGCTGTGTTTGTCAATTAAACGGAAATAAGTCTACCATGATCTCTTCCAACCAGTCACATCTTCAATCGACTGTGTGTAAAGGTTTGCTGAAAATTATATCCATATATTGTTTTACGTTTGTGTTTTTATTTGGGTGTGTGAAACTGTAGGTAACCATCTATGATATCTGTTTTATACACTGAAGAACTAATACTGCTACACTTCTCTGATAACGAGCCGATCATAAGTTCTTAACATACCACGTGGTAGCTAAATGCCCCATTAAATAAAATGCAATACCTCGCGCGTCTAAAAGGCAGTCCCCAGAGTGCAAACAATTACTTAACAATGGTAGGTTTTGGACACCTTCGTAAACTGTGACTTACAAAAATATTTATTGCCTATTATTGTTGCGTTTTTCTTTCACTGGTTACTCCAGGGTTATGTTTAATTTTGCCCCTTGATGTGTCCTTTTATTTGTCGAGCATTTTATGTGTTGCATTGTTTCGTGTTTTAGTGGTGTCTGATTCTGGGCAGTAATGTAGCAACCTCATAAAAAATGTTTTTATGGAATACGTATTATTGCAGTCCTATTTATGATTAAATATGATGGCAAGTGTTGTTATTAGGTCTTTATTCATATCCATGCCCCAATATTGGCCATAATATCTCTCATAAGAAGGCGCATTTACAACGCACACCTTATGAGATTCAAGCTTTGATTGCAGACATAGAAACAATATACTGCACTTTCTATTTATATTTTCTAATAAATCACTATTACACCTCCTTACTAATAAAATGGAGCAAATTAAAAATGAGATTTTTGGAAAATGAATATTGAATTCGAAATATTTAAAAATATTGATTGATTCAAATGTATGTAGCAATTGTTCCTTTTACGTATAATATTTAATTTATAATCAATTCAAAGAACTAGCTTTGAGGTTTTTGATGATATCAAGTTCATTAAAATATAAAGAATAGGAAACAGGTAAAAAATGACAATATTTGCCAAAAATGATCCTAAATCGCCGGTCGACATTAAAAAATATATATATATTATAAAATATTAAAATAATTTTAATTCAGTACGCACACTGGAAACTATTCAGAAATTGTCACGAAAACGTCCTAATGCAGTAGACAGATAAGTGACAAAATAGGGAGTGGTCGAACATGCAATCTCCGAAAGGCTTAAGCAGCGTCCGTTTTCTCCTCGGCCTCATCAGTGGCCAATAACTTGAAGAGAAAAGACATGGGTTTTCGAGCTGGGTTCAATAGAAACTCGGGGTTTCTCCTGGGTACCTACATGGGCTTCCCAAGCTCGCCATATTTGTCGATCATCATTGCCCCTAAGAAAGGTGAGTTTTACAAGTCCGAGCCACCCACCTATGGGCCATATCCACTCGTGTGCGTGCAATAATGGTTTTGAAGTATGTAAGGTTCAACACTCTTTCATTGGACATGCAAAAAAAAAACAAAAAAAAACGAGAATGGCTTTTTAGTTGTCAGGCAAGGCAGATAGGGGTTTTTCGCGGCCTAGAGGTCCTGAAATACCAGGCGTAGAGGTACTCTCAGGGAATGAGGTCGGACGGTATTGACTCAAGTTGATCTCCTTGAAGCGATATCTAGAAGGCCTTTACCTGAAAGTGGAACTGAATTTCCTTGTCGGCTTCGGCGGTGTAGCGAACGCGAATCGGATGCCTGCTGGTACAGGACACGGGGACCTTGGACGGCTCGACCTGGATGAAGTTGTTGCTTGACGAGTACCAGGCTTGTAGGTACAGGGTGCTCTTGGGCTGGTTGATCTTCACACCGTACGTGTCGTACTTGACAGTTTCGTAGTTCACGGCCACGGCCTGCAGATAGAGACGCTGCCATTGGGAAATTTGCGATTTACGCATTAGCGCTGATTTGATATCGGTTCTTTCAGGTTTTGATTCGTGAGGTCTACTTTTAACTTGCCGGCTTAAATTATTCCTGTCAAATATGGTGGATACGGAGTGAATGTAGATAGAGATACCCGTCATCCTTCTAGCCAATGTGTAAATTTTATATTTCGTAATTGGTGCTATGCCCGTCATAATAGTCGCACATACACGTAAACATATTGTTATTGGAATTGCTAGTCATGACACTGTCGCCATTTTTTTTTGTTACTATGATAGCAGTTAGCAGTAATACTTCGCGGATTTCGCGCCGTTCACCGCACTCCATATGGACGAGGTCCATTTTCGGCACTTCGCCAAATGTTCCCTACATTGACGTTAGGCCGCTCGACACGACTCTGACGTCGTGTCGAGCGGTCAGATTGCGGTCACCATGTCCAGGATTCGAACCCGCCACCAGGGGATCCGTGGGCTGGCGCTTTGCCTCGGAGGCCACCGAGGCGACTGTCCCACAGCCTTACCAAAACTTGTGTTACGAAGATCGCATGGGCCAGCCACACTTACAGATGTTATTTTCTGGCGATAGGAATGGAACTCTCGAACTGAAATATAGAGAAAGTGAGTGTCTGCTCACCTCGACGCTGATTGTCACCACCGACGTCTTCATTGGTGGAATGGTGAATTTGACCAAACCGTTTTCATCCGAGGTGTAGTTTTTGCAACTTAGTCGTCTGTCGGTGCGCCACCATAAAGGCTTGATGATCTCGGACTGCGAAAGCAGGCACAACTGGATGCGCTCTCCGCCAACCGGGACGCCGTCTGGCTTCTTCACGAGGAGCTGAAATCAAAGAGAGATCATATGAATGCACTTATATATATGTGGGTCAAAAGTTGCATGAAATGGTTGGTTGTTGCTGACTTGAGTGATGTGCATAAACAATTTTGATCTGGTTATTAACATGACCAGATTTTGAGGGAAATTGCTTTTAGAGCGCAGCTCTTAGCTTCCCCTTTCCGGGTTGAGCGGCGTCGCCATCGCCGTAACCGAGCGTTGCATTATGGGACGTTTCTAAGAATGACGTCACACGTGACGTCACGTGTGACGTCGCAAAGGTAAAACATTCCCGCTAAATTTTGTGGGAAAGTTTTTCGCTAAATTTGTCGGGAAAATGTTCCGCTAAATTTATCCAAAAATTTTCCCGACAAATTTAGGTGGAAAATTCTGCACTTGTTATGTCTCACGTGACATCACAAAATTTTATTGCTAAATTTAGCAGAAACATTTCCCAACAAATTCTGCGGAAAATCTCCCCTCTTGACGTCACACGTGAAGTTACGTGTGACGTATCGTGACGTCAATTTTCCCCTCTGTACCCTCCCCTGTTCCTCTTCAAGAGCCGCGTTCTAATTCGGCATTACACAGAATAGTAAACGTCTTTATTTTTTTATTATGTGAATAATTCAGTCTTAGATCTTGAATACTTGTTTTCACAAACATGAATAGCGATGCGTATTTCTGTAATCATGGAAAGGAATAAGTTTTACGTTATCTTCTGCATTATTAAATCTCTCCTTATATTCAAGCACGATTGTGATAATATCTTCAATAAAAATAAACCTCAGCATCTGCTGCCGGTATTATAGCGCCATTTCTTCATGCTCTGTTCTACTGATTTGGTCTATAATACATTTGGGCGTATCACATGCATTGAAAGGTAAATATTTTCATCTGAGCTCCAGAAAATAAGGGAAATATGCGGGAACTTACTGATCCATAGAAAGGCATTGCTGGCTTGAAATAGTTCTTGCCGTGTTCTCCCTCAAGGAATGTCAGCTCCAGTGGGTTAAAACTGCGGCTCACATAGCTTGTCTTGTTCATGGTGATTCCTGTGCCCGTCTCATTTACCGAAGCAATAAGAAGAAGCCTCTTGTAGATCTCGTAGTTTTCGTTAAACCTCAGGGCTGTCGTGTTGACGGTCATGTCGAAGCAGCCGTTGATCTAAGAAAGAGAGATGTTAAATCATTTAATCAAATTTTCTGAAAATCGCTCAAAGTTTGTTTAAATACTGTTTTTTTTAAACTTCAAGATCAGTTGTAAAATATCATTGGTGTGACAGTTCGTAGTATCGCTCTTTACGCTAAACTTGTGTAACGTATTCCTATTATACCTTGCTGGGACACGCCAATACACACTTAGTCTACTGTAAATTTATCATAAACACTTTGCACCATTTGGAGGTAGAGGAGAGAATCATCTTATTGGATGTTTAAAATCGATTGACTAATATGTGAATGCTTCAAACATCCATCCTTGCAGCAAATGTATGTATGCAAATTCATAAGCGGTACTTCCAATTCGTAAACTTCGCAACATCAGGGGTCCTAATCTACATGGTAAACCAAGCGGTACCAAGGGACCGAGGACATCGACACCGGGTGCGATGGGCCAGCTCCGCGCCCCTGACTATACTCCGTTTCACCTTCCGTCCGAGCACAGCGGACGCTAGGAGCCATCCCAGCCAATGCGGCGTTGAGAGAGTGTCATGCGACCTTGAGCTCCCTGTGTCGCCCCGCCCCACCGGCAGGTCACGCGACTTTCTCCCGGCGCTGGATCGGCTGGGATGGCTCGTGGCGCCCACTGCGCTCGGACTGAAGGTGAAACGGAGTATAGCAGAGGCGGTGCTTAGCTGAGGGAATAACGGATGGACTTACTATATTTAAAAAAAAAAAACATCGACTGCGAATTATAGACGCCAAAAAAATGAAAGTGGTCTAATTGTTAGGAACATCGATTACGTGCTTTAGTATCATGTTTACTGTGAGGAATTTTTCATTTTATTTTTGTTTCGGAAAAGAAGATCTATACTGCTTTCCATTAGAAGGGACGACTTTTTGCATCAGGTAATATAATGCAGGACAACGTAACTTACCGGTCCTTCGTGGGAGACGCGGGGGTAGTCGTCCTTTTCCCACGAGTATCTTTCGTAGGTGACATTCACCTTGAGCGTTCCATCGACTGGCTGACCGAACGTATAGCTGTCAATTCATAAAAGTAAAATGTATAAATACATTGTATATTGACGTAAAAGAAGTGCAGTAATTTATAAAATATAATGTAAAATATGCACAACTGTTTTCACACCTTGTTTTGATTATGACAGCAGTACGTTTATGCGATAGGTAGATAACCATAAAAACATTTTGTTCTACTTTAGTTCAGGGCACGTTCGAAGCAATATTCAAACGCCCTAGCTTTTCTATCGTGTATGTTGGCACTTCCATCGTTCATGTTCTATATTGAAATAAAGCATCATAAACTACTTACTGCGCGCAAATTTTCCATGTTATTTCCTTGGCATCCGCAAGAACATAGGACGGTGGTTTGACGGTTACTTCAAATTTTGGAAGCACTGTATTGAAAAAAAATCGCAGATTGGTGTGAATTGGCGGGTGCATGAAAAACATTCACAACAGATCAAAACGGTTCATCTCTGAAATACATACCATATTCGTTGACTTCAAAGTGCTGTCTAACGGTCTGAGACGGAAGCTCAACAACAATTTGCCACAGCCCAAGTTCAGGTTCCTCCGACAGCTTGAAGTCTCTTTGAACAATTCCTAGAAAACAAATTTGTAAAATGCGCTTCCGTACAACACAGCGCCCAGCATAAATTTGCATGCTACATGCATCTACATAGCTTGACTTCTCGTCGGATAGATTGTCATTTACATAATATATGTGCCTGTTTTAGGGTGCATCTTCCGACGTTTGTATTACATTCGAAATCGTTGTTTTATTTTTGCTTGCTTGGTTAAATATACTTTCTGTTTTATTTTAAATACAGTGCTCCAGCGTTTTTCGGTTAATTCGTCGTTTCTTGTACATACTGCTCCATCTATATCCTGTATATATATATATATATATATATATATATATGTGTGTGATTTTTTTCCAAACTTCTGTCTTCTGCCTGATATACATGTCCTTCCCAACAAGCGTGCTGCGGTGTTGAAATTTTTGCGTTTTCCACATATGTTAAAGCGGTAGGGGGAAGAGTATCGTTTGTATAACGCTGTATAGGAACAAGTCAATGTCGTCTTAGTTAGACGGGTGTAATATGTAAATCAGGTAACCATATCTGAGTACATTAGCGTACAAGCAATCAAGAATATTCAGAGGTATATTATGTAATACGCTGGTATTTTCAATACTTTGTAAGGCAATCGAAAATTATAATTTCACAAACGTTGTTATACAGAATATTGCAAGGTGGCAATTAATTACCTTTCTCAAACGTAACGTTGTTCCACTGGGCTATCCTGACGTCACCCGGGCTTGTGACGTAAATAGTGGCCTGGTTGTGAAAAAAGTCCGGATGTAAAATACAATTTCTGGACGAAAGCATTAATATTTATTTTCCTTATTCAGACACTGTTACACATTCCCTATTTTTTCTCTAAGAACAAAATTTCCGTGTTTTGTTGCTTCCTTGGTTTTGGGGTCAAAGTACAGTTTCAAAACTTCGAAAATAGGGAGATTAACAATGACATAATATTGTAGTATGAACATAGTTTGAGCCCATACCAATGTGAAATATATCTGAGAACATTCCCTGAATAATTATCAGGTATGTGAGGTCCCAAAGTAGAATATCCATCAACATCATTGCAGCGATGATGAAAACTATAGCAATATTTTATGTTCTCAAAATTTCTTGTTTTGGAGTTTTATTTGAAATACTGTTGGCAAAAATTCGAACTGCTTGAATCGAAACTGCACAACACGCGTCCAGGAATATGCCGCGAAATATAATCGAACACGTATGACTTTGTTCAATCTTCATTTACCAGACATATTTTGCTTAAATGACCCCTGAAAAAAAACAAAAAAAAACAACATGTTTTTAAAAAGTGGCTGGGACACGCCTGCCAAAAACAAAATTACGCAAAACAATTGTTTAGTGCAATATTGACGGCGCGAGACGCGATTTAGTCGGCAGTCACCTCCTTTCCACTTTTTTTCTCTCTTTTCATTTCGGGCGCGTGGAGGAGACATGGATCGGCTTCCCCTTCACGACCGAGATGGTCATTCCGGAATGACCCGTGATGTCATGGACAAATATCTCCGCCAATATTGCTCTACTTTTTCTTTCGCGTAAAATGTATTTCTCGACACGCGTGTCCCAACCATACTGTTTTAAAGAAACTTCTTTTTCTTTTCAGGGTCCTTTTAAGATGAACATTTACAAATACGTTTTTTTTAGTTCATATAATATGGCTATATCCTAATATTTTGATTATGCAGAGATTCAAGACCACACACCTGAACATCTGTGACAGGCTTTAGTTCATTGTTTATTGGCAGGACCCGCAATTGAACTGAAAACAAACAAAGAGCGAAAAATGAAGTAGTGAGCTGTTTTCAATAAAGACAAAAAGGCAAAGTTTCTAAGACCCTGTTCTAGTATTAGCGATGGCCTTCAACAAGGTACGCAAAAAGTTCGCACATTAAAAAGATATTGCCAACAGAGCTGCAGTGGCAAAGGACGGTGCCAAGTTTCTTTGATAATGAAGTGAACCAGAATACGATGTGATCGAGCACTTTCATTGGTAGAGAATACTTACGTAGAAAATAGTTGCACATGTTGCATGATTATTTTGCATTTATTGCCCTTTCCTCTAATGGGTTATTTTTCTCTTTAAAGGCCCGTTCACACTCTTGCGACCGAGTAAGACCGTCAGAGACCAGACCGGTTTTTAAGCCTCTTGTGATCTCTTAGGACCAGCTCCACTGCAGCGCATCCGGTCCTAAGAAGTAGCAAAAGGCTTAAAATCCGGTCTGGTCTCTCTCGGTCCTACTCACTCGCAAGAGTGTGAACGGCGCTTAAGGGTATTGCTTACACTATCAATAGACAAAACGGATATGAGAAAACAGATTGCGGTAGGGGCTCACCACATTTATGCTAAATGCAACTCTCTCGGTATATTCATGATGCCCTAAATCTTTATAACGTGGTGCCTTAGTGTCCAGTGCTGTTTTCAATAAGGAAGACATCGACTAAGCGTGAGAATTAAACAGTTGATGCAATATTAAAGAAAAAGTTCCTCTAACCCTTTCTCCCACACAAATTGATGCAACCATTTTACATACAATATGCACTATTGATATGATGTAATGTCGAAGTGTCCGTAGTAATCACGCCCTTCTCACAATAGGCTTGTACTCATCACAAGTTTGCAACACCTAACATGTCTAAAACACAGGATATGCCTAAACACTGAGGTGAGTTTGGTTTTGAAGTTTATAATTCGGATCTCACCTCAACCCATCACTTCCTAAATGATAACGACAAAAAAATGTTAAGATACTATTTTTATCGTTTTGTATAGGATAATCGCTATTTTTCTCACTGGGTATTTGTACAGCTCAAATTCAAACTTAAGTATTCCTAGGAGTCAAGAAATGCATTTTGCACAAACGCCTGAGAGTTTCATCAAAATCCTTTATCAACAAATAGGTGCCATGGGCCAGGTGGATCCTCTTAAGAACGGGAGATTATGTTGATGTAGCACTTAGAACTCACTCGTCACATATGAGACAACCATAATCATCATCTTAATCTTCACTTTTTCATTTCACAACTAGCTGGAGTGGTTCTGAGTGGTGCACAACAAACATAACACCTTTAAACAAAATAAGCTATGAAAGTAGCTGTCATGACGCGCATTTACTTGAAGACTATAGCAATATTCATTTTGTATTAGGCAGTCAATTACCAAGCTGTTTTCCCCAAACTTGATTCTGATTCTCTGGTTGACTTTTCATTTGATCAAGTGACCCGAGAATACGACCAGCGCCGTGGGCATGACATACGCAGTGTTTTTTTTTTTTTTGTTCTTTTTTTTTTCATTTTTGGTTTTACATAAACCTGAACCGTCTCTGTTCAGCGATTTAGAGCCCGTATACGCTCCCAAAGTAAGTTTGTTGAAGTTTTCACATGTTTGTGTTACCAGGTAATTGCAAGAAATAAAAACTAGGCTAAAGCTCGGCCTCTGTGACTTGGTTTGAGTTTCAATATCAATATTTCCCTCTGACATGCAATCTATTTTGTGCGCGTACGGCTAGCATATATTTTTCCGAAGATAACAAGCGTCTCAAGTATATCGTCTTGTATATAAATTAGATGGTAACGTATATCAATATATTTATTTAAAAACAAACTGCGTCTGAGGAAAAATACATGAGTGGGTTGACACGATGTGTGGGCTTATCTCTTTTCGTCACCCGTAGTCGTGTTTTACCAGAAGAAACGTTTTGCAACCTTCTATATTTGTATTTGAGGGTCTATTGCCGTGTGCGTGGCGGAGTTGGCAACGTACGCGGCTGCCATGAGAAGGAACGGGGTTGGAACACCTCACGGCAAGATTCTTTTTTTTTCTATCGATTTTTGCTCTTCTGGATGGTGCATCCTTCTCTGCCATCGTGTGTTCTTGTTCAGAACCTCCATGAACGTACTGAGTGTATAAAAGCAAAAATAAAGAGCTGCGTTGGGTCAGTCACCCTTCTTTTTATGCCGCAGGATGCGCGATGTCTCTCTGTTTAGTTTTGTAGGAATAGCTGTCTATATTAAGTAATGTTCAGTTTTAATTTCTTGCCTTATTTTTAGTAATGACACTACGTACTTAAATATTGCAAGGCAATTTCTGAAATAAATACGTTTCAAACATTTATCTTAAAATGTAAGCAGAATTTGTCTTACCTTTTTGCCCTGGTTTGTATAGTGCCTTGTCGGTCTGAATGAGCACGTTGGTTTTCGACTTCTGGAAGTCTATTTCTTTTTTGTCACCGAAGATATAGGACCCAAAAGTTCCATTTACTTCAATCTTCGCCTGGCTGTCTATGTGCTTTGGTACCTTGAATGGAAGAAAGGTGCTTTCCCCTAGAACAAAATGAAAATGTGATTCGTATATTATTGCCCGAGAGCTCATGGTAGGTGTGCTTTGAATCCTACCGAATAATTTGTAAAAAGCCCTAAAACCAAAACAAAAAACAGATCGAACAGTACATCGATATAGCAAGACTGGTAAGTATTAAAGTGAGTTTAAACGAACAAATGCTTGCGGGAGAACAGGTTATAGATGTTGAATAAAGCAAATCAAATTTACGAAATGGTACAGAATACATTTGTGTCAAATGCGTCATATACTAGGTGATTTTAGGCCTTACATTAAGCATTAAAGTAAGTAGTCATTGCCAGCCAAACGCAGTGCGGTCAGATGAGTTATACAGATAGGTGGATATAATACATCGGGCTAATCGTCAAGGTAAGTAGGGTAATTAACCAGAATTGTGTAGTCAAGTTCTTTTTAGTGAAGATAATACTTCTGCTTTCAAATACAAAGCTGTTGAGTGTAAATAAAAAAATTACTACATGACACCATTCTAGAAAAATTTGGAGCGCGTGAGTAGCGCGCTAATGCGCTAAACTATATATATATATATATATATATATATATATATATATATATATATATATATCGCGCGCAAAGGCTTTCGTTGAGAAGACGTGCCTGCGCAGTTTTCCCGTGTCTTATATTTCGGGTTTTCGCACCGTTAGCTCTGTGCTTGTTCCACCAGGGGCAACCTTAGCGCACAACCGTCCTTCCCATATTTAAAATATTTATAAAAATGACAAATTTAGTTGCTTTCGATGACGCTCAGCAAGTTTCTAATTGGAACCACATGTATATTTCACTAGTTAAAAAGTTCATTAACACAATTGATTAAATTTTATAACTTATCGGGACGATTAGTCCTCTACATTTTGCCCTCCACGCCGTATTACGCACCCGCACATATACTACAGAGTGTCCCAAGCGGGCCCTTAGCTGTAAGACGAGCCGGAAAAATCAGCTCCTGCGCATAGAAAGCTCATACTTTCACAGAATGCGCACTGAGCATGTCTGTTTTATGAAACAAACTTTCAAGGCGCAGTTATTTTTTTTCTTTTTTTTTTAAGAATGCTTGAAAGCAATTTTTCAAAGTCAAGGTTTGGCATGCTCAAAGACGACCAAGTTACTTGTGACGCAAGCTCTAGACATGTGCAACGAGCAGACAACACCGTGCTTTGTCTGTTTGCTACACATATCGGGAAATAGCGCCACAAGAAAATAGAGTCGCTATCTCGGTCGTCTGCGAAGGGCCTAACATTCGCTTTGGCAGCATGCTTGCTGCTATTACGTACTAGAAGAAAACTGCGTCTTTACATTTTACACGGTAAAACGTGCCTGTTCAGTGCGCATTCGGTGAAAGTTTGAGCTTTCTATGCGCATGCGCCAATTTTTTCCGGCTTGTTTTACAGCGGAGTGTTTGCTTGAGACAGCCTATTTCTAAATACTGTGCTCCCGCGGGTAGGATTTATATGCAGACAAACAAGAGTGAGATGGCAAATACAACTAATAATGTTGGCACTTAACTTAAGATAGGGGAATTAAATTTGTTTAATAGGTAACCTGACGATATAATAAGCCCCCTTTTGCATAGCTTGAATTGAAGTTTCATCTAGGCTGATAATGCAATGGATACATAACGATATTCTATATGACGTTAATTAACATTGCCTAACGATTAAACAATCGCAGTTTCCATTTTTTGGGTTGTGAAGAAAGATAATAGCTTGGGCGTAAAGCTGCAGAAAGTGAAGCTCGACGAGGTCCTGTCTCCGAGCACAAACAAATGCGCTATGTGATGTAGCAGTAGAAATAACTGAAAACGTTGCTTACTACCGTAAGAAGTTGATAGGGCTCTTTACAAGAGTACAAGAATTATGAATGGAGCAACCCCGTCGTGTTTATCTCAAAGGGCGGGTGACTGTCTCACCGCAACCCATCCTGTCAGACTTGAAACTTCAAAAACACGCACGGACGCACGCACGCACGCACACACACACACACACGCGCGGGCGCACGCACACACGCACGTACGCACACACAGACGCCCACACGCACACAAACGCACCCACACGAACACACACCCACGCACGCGCACGCACGCGGACGTCAACGCACGCGGACAGACACACACGCGCGCGCGCGTACACACAAGCACACGCACTTACGCACGCACACACATACATACACACACACACACCGATCTGCACTCTGAACAACAAAGTAAATTATGGCAGCAAAAACATCTATTGAGAGCGTTAGGATGAAACACCTATTGAATTACATTAGAAGCATATCAATAAAGGAAATGTGAGATCGTATAAAGAAAACACGTTATAGCATGACACGTACAGAACGGTGAAAAGCAAGAATAGAATCTCGAATCCTCCGATCCGTGCATTCTTTGAAAGCCCTCACATTGAAAGGCATCGACGATGCTTGCTCAGCGACTCGCGGATTTTCTGAAGCGGCTTTAAAAGCTTCGCACACAGAAGGAGCGCCAACGTATCAAAGGAGACACGGGCGCAGAAAGGCGGTTGTCAGGCAGCTTACCGTTTTTGATGTCGTATTCCTGTTCAGCGAGCACTACGCTGTCGTTGTTGTACTTTAGGAGCCGTACAGAAACCTTGCCGTCGTCCTTAACATCGGTTAGGGTCAGCCGGAACAGCGCCTCCGTTTCGCTTCGGAGGATTTTGGGCGCTGTGAAGATGAACCCTCTGTACAGAAAAGAGCAGGTAATGATATTTTAGGAGGTATTTACTGAACGCAGAGAAGCCTTTTGAGTTGTAGTTTAACATCTGAAAATTGCCAATGACGGCATTTAGACGTCAAAAGACTTTGCTGTGTATATATACAAGGGTGCAAACATATCTAGAATTTGTAGCTCTGCCAGACCACCAACCACAAAGCTTTCCTTGGTAAGGTTATCTGGCGCACACTAGATAAACACTAGATAAACTCTAGAAAAACAAAACCATTAGTACTTTATTTGGTCATCATACTCGGTAATTGGCTTAAACATATGATGGCAACTGTTTAAAAAAGCAGGTTTATATGGCCAAGCCCGCAGTCAGACTGTCCTTCAATTTTTTTGTAAATATTATTAAAGAATAGGGCAGATTAAATGTCTGAAAATACCCTAAATGTCGGCTTGTTTTGCTGTTAGAATGAGGTCGTTTTTCTGAAGAAAAACAGAAGGACGCGTACAAAGGATATCTCTTTGACGCTTGTAAATATAGCAGTCCTGATATTTTCCAGCGAGGCGCTTAGAACTCAAATAATTGACTGCCATCAAATTATCCTAGCCAGTAAGATAAGCACGTATTATTGGGATTCTACAATCTGTCCTCGAATGGCTAAATATTAAATAAACCTTTTTCCTCAATAAGCGCGAGCGTAATCATAGAATAGAAATCCCCTGTGCGTCCGGGAGAGAAAAACCTCTTAGAGAACGCTCAGTGATTTGGGGTCCGATATTGCTACAAAATTTAGACCACTGTTAACCCCCGATGGAAATTATTAATTTGCATCAAAGAAGCACGCCCATTCTCTAATTTGCTGTCTTGATTTCCTTTCAGCATGCGCAAAAAGAGTTAGAATTCATTTATGACTTGGATCTCCTTGACCCTTTACAGATATAAGATACGCGCAACAGAACTTGCGTTTTCACATCATATAAACTGATAAATATGGATGACACTTGAACAAGTGTTTCCAGGGTTAGGAGTAAATTAGTGAAATTGAATAAATGGTGTTAGAAGTTGGATAAAAATGTCAACTTGAACTAAATTAGTTCAATATTAGACTAATGTGTATTAAAACGATAATACTTAGATATGTTCTTAACTTTGTGGTACAGTGTGGATTCAGGAATCCTGGCGAAGTTTTATCTCGACGTAATCCTATTTTTATCGTAGACGATTTTTCAAGTTTTGAGGTATGAAAACTCACCCTTGAACGTAACTGGCTGCTACGGCGGCAGAAATCAAAAGAACACTTGCAAGGGACATGGCTGGCCTGTGCTCGCTTGGTGGCTGCCTGAAATAAAAAAGATCAATCGAACTTTTGTTACAAAAAGTCACCGAAATAACCACATATTTACTTACGATAATCAAATAACGATTAACGAATAATCGAATAACAGTTAGGCAGAAAAGAGTTAGTACCAAGAAAGAGAATAAATTAAATTGAGAAAAAAAGACCCACCGGCAAGTGGAAGACAAAAACACAGCACTGTTTCCACTTACTATTGCTTGCTACAGTATTTTTTTTGGCTGTTGTTTTACTTTTTTTGTGCAGCTGGTTAGCCAACTGGACATTTTCTACATAAATGGTGTCCCACGCGGTCCTTCCGCTGGGAATCAAGTCGGAAATATCGGCGCCTTCCCAGAGAAAGTTCCCATTTTCATTAAATGTACACTACATAGGTCAGTTTTACAACATGAAATTGGAAGTTGTAGTTTTCTTCATATAAAAAACAGAACAAAAACTTGTCAAAGCCATCGTTGATCGCATTCACAAACGACCCAGCTAGATATGCTAATTACTTGTGGCGCCATCTTCGGATAGGCGAAGCGAGCAAAAGACGCACCCTGTTTTATGCTCGCTGGACCTATCGGAAGTAATTTGCGTCGATAACTCGGGCGTCCGCGAATGCGCCCAACGTTGACTTTGGCAAGTTATTTGCTCTCGATATTTACGGGAAAACAGCTACGTCTTGCAATATCACCCTGCAAAACGGACCTACTCAGTGCACATTCGGTGAAAATGAGCTTTCTTTGTCTAAGCGAAGTGTCGGCTTGAAACAGCCTATATAAGCTATATATTATAGATATGTACCCTTTATTATATTTCTGAAAAACAATCAATAAGTACATTTAATTTTAGCTTGAAGTCAATATTTTATGTATAATGTAATAATTAGAATTGTTTATGATTTATCTATTTTTCTAAATGCGTTTACACTGACAACGTGAGCTTAAAACTTATCAAGGGAACTTTTGTAAACGCTACGCTGCTTGAGGACATTGAATTGTAATCGTGCTTTCCAAGCAGCTATTGCCTATCGGTAAAATAAATACGAGACATATAAGAATGAGAAATAGCAGAATATGAGAACTGTCCCAATATAAAAAAAGAAACTATAACACAGGCATGTCTAGTGCATTACGAGTTCAAGTGATTGTGTTTCTTGCCTGACTATCTTGCCATAGTGACCTTAGTTTTGACGCAACAGTCAGTTGGATCCACTTCGCCTTAACTGATTAGATGATACCTCGGTCGCAGTTGTAATAAAGGTGCCAGAGAATAAAATTTAATATGCTCACCTTCCACGGCACAATAACGCCCACTACTTCTTGTTTTCGATCCTCGTCGTCTATCCTTATTAGAAAGACGGATACAATCCTTCAATGCGCCCGTCGACAGCGCGATCAATAAAGGAGCGCCGCAGCACCAACTTCCCCATACCTCCGCATACGATAAAAGGGACAAAAAGGGGACCCAGCTCCCGTTCGCCGAAAGCCCTGCGTGTGAAGCATTAACGAAGCTTCATTCAGAATTCCCGCAGCGGATCGTTAGGCGAGTTTTGTGCCAGGTCCCGATTGAATTCGGGACGTCCACGGTCTCAGTAACGGCCTTTTTTTCTCCAAAAAAAGAAAACAAACCAAACAAACGTCTTCAATGGGTCGCGTTGTTTAGAATGAGAACTTTCGACGGTCCGTCCTCGTATCCCGAGGACCTTGCGGCGTGCCAAAAACACCGTTGTTCCCCGTTTCCGCTTGTTGGCTCGCGTGGAGCCTTAATTATGCAGGGCCCTTCACCGGTAGCCCGCTTTTGTGCTCGGGAGCGGGAAAACTTTCGGGAGTAGTTTGGCGCCACGGTTGTAGGGAAGAGCCAGAGGGTTTGTTGGCTCCAGCGACGCCATGCTGTGTTAGTTCGGAAGTCTCTGATCCAGCGATGCATACCGCCACTTTCAGGTATGAACGAGGCAAAATCAATTGGTGTATCGGCATGGAAACAAAAAAATGGCCGACTCATGCGTTGGGCTATTCTAAGACAAAAATAAATATGCCAGTATAGCTTATATTAGCTGTTTCAGAATCACTCAGAGATCCAACCAATACAATCTATTAAGTGAGTGTATCGAGCAATGGAGCCCGGAAAAGATGGCTTTATTTAAATGAGGAGGTTTACTACTCTCCAAGGTGTGTGACCGCTTAAATCTGGTTTCCAGATATGCCATTGAGTTTAACTAATCGCAATACAAAAGAATGCGTTCCGCAATGAGTTGTTGGGCGTATCTCGGTAAGCATTGTGACCACACGGTAGCAAGTTGTCCTACGCGGTCATTACGCTGTCGGTGATACTCAAAAGCAAAAGTTCCATTCTTAAACTAAAACGCCTAAGGACAGGGACAAAAGAAAATGACCCGTCCTGTTAGTCATTTTCTGTTAGAATCTATTTTCATCTTTCCCAGTCTTTAACCATTTTACGTTAAGAATGTTGGAACCAACTAGCCGAAATTGCCGTCCAAATATTTGTACCAACCGTACATGTTTACGTTACACTCTCTGGCTTATTGCAGACTTCATATCTGAGAAATGTTAGGCTTCGTGCTTTTCCGATCTTCTTTCGTAAATCCAACTGGTTTCCAAGTGTTAATCTGAGAAGGTTGAACAATAAACCAGCCATTTGGCCAGCCCGGTTCAGTCCACAAAATTGTGCAGATGTTGGAACAAAAAAAAAAAGTAACCCGAAACCCAATCTTATAACCAGGGGATTACTTTTGAGCTCAATATTGACGCTGTTGTATACCTGGTAAAGTACATTTTCCCACTACCTTAATTAACTCCAACAAGAACCGCTTAGATGAATACAGTATCCGCCATCTGTTACATTTGTTTCCGCTCTTTATCATTCTTATAATGATGCTCACATTCTAGATTTTATTCTCATCAATTACACCTATGGAGTTTCTGAACTTGTGCTTCTGAGCGCGCTAATCTCTTAACAGGCGTCGAGGCATAGAAGTAGGAAGAAGAGGAGTCGACAAACAGGCTCAAACCAGCTAAACGAGAAAACCCCAAGTAAAGCCGGTAGCAGCGGTCGCGGTTCGTTGGGAATGCCCCCGCAGGTGATCACAACAGTTGGCACCGAATCTACTGTTCTTTCATTCCAACATAATCTTTTGGTTTTGTCCGTTTTTGGCCATCGTTGGCGGTGTGTCCCTCCAAACCCGATGTCTCCTACGGCTTCCCCTCTGGTGGCGTCACGTCGCCTCCGAATGATTCTTATCCCCGTAAGTTCAGGCCTCTCTTGAAAAAAAACAACAACTGGAAACGTGGTCTTTTTTGCTCGTACGGAAATGCCGCAAGGTTATTTTATAGTATAGTGTATAGCAACAATAAAACGTAAGATTCGGGAAAGCTCAATTTCACTGATCACTTTCCATGCGTGCATAGTATGCCATGCACTTGTTGTGGCCGAACTTCTGCGTGCATTCGTATTTCAACATTGTTGGTTCTGTTACCGAAGGATCGTATTCATAATTTGTGCCACAGATGCCGTAGGTTCTCCTCTCTAAAAAAAAAAGCTTGCGGCGCATTTTTCTCGTTGACACATCTAAAAGACATAGCTAGATCAAAGCTATATATATGTGTGAACAATAGGAACTGGATCACAACTGAACGTAACAAGCTCCTTTCGTCATATCGGTGAGCAATTTATGTTTAACACCGACAGCCGGCATTGGTGAGTTTTGGCTTCGCATCTCCGTGTGTATTTTGTGTAGGGTCGTCATGACACGGGACGCCGAAGTGTTTTATATGACGCCACAGTTTTACGTGGCGTCTCAGTGTCACGTGACGTCATGGCTTTACGTCGCATTGTCAAGTGACTTGCGGTGTCATTCAACCTCACGTGAAAACGAGATGTTAAGCGAAAAAAATTCCCATTTCAATATAGCGAGTACATTCCCCGCGCACTACTTCACCGTGACACTAAATCTGGCGGGAACTTTCTCAGCTAAATTTAGCGAGAAACTGCCCGCGTGCGGTGTGATTGTCCGTAGTCTGCGTGGTGCAGAGCGTGCAGCGCCTCGGCTGTCGCCGCAGTCATAGCCTCCTATATACGGAGAAAGCCTGGCGCGTCGCGTGAAAAGACGGCCGCCGTAAATGGGAAAGGAGGGGCGGAGAAACGGGAGCGGAGAGAACCTTGACTGCTAGCGCCACAAAAGAGCGAGCGGCCTAACGCAGAAACAATCTTTTTTTTTTTTTTTTTTTTCTTGTCGTTATCGTGGAGAGGGGAAACCTACGTCCACCCTTTCCCGTTTCTCCCTGCGCCCTTTCGAATCGCCGCGCCCGTTTCTCCCGGACTACGAAAACGACGGTGACGAAAACACAAAAACAAGCGTGGTTCGGGGAGCGGCCGCTCATGAGCCAAGCGCTCGCTGTCTAGGTCTGCCCTGTCTGCTCTGCGCTACCATATTGGTCACCGTTCGGCGCGCTCCTTCTCTCCTTTTTCCTGCGGCCGCGCGCTCTATGGCTCCGTCGTCGATGTGCCAGGCTTTCTCCGTATAGAGGAGGCTATGCCGCAGTCCATTTGGGGGACGCGGCGGACAACCGGAAATATTGTTTTGTCCTGAGAGGAAAGAAGAGACACCACACCTTCCCTATGGCGACCTAGTTCTCAAGCAGCAGTGGAACTGCACCGTGCAAATGCGGTGCGCAATCGCGTACTTCTTTTGTAGAGGTTGTTGTGACGTCAGAACGCCGAGTTCTGATTAGCTTTGATAGAAGGATAGTGGGTAGACCTCAAGGCAGCTTGCTTTGAAGCCTACCCACTATTCTTCGGTCACAGCCAATCAGAGCTCGTCGCCTTTCTGACGCCACCGCAATTCCTGCGGAAAACACAGACGACTTGCGCACCGCATAGCCTCTTCTTTCTGCTTCCTGCATAGCGTTCCATCGTCCCTTAATTCGGCCTACCTCTTGGGCACCCCCGCTTTTCTGGTCCGAAGGGCGCGAGTCGCACAACTC